ACTAAATTTTGTAAAATTAAAACATGATTTTGTCTAAATGATTCATATATTGGTTAAGTTTTCACAAGATTAAAGTTTGATGTTCAATGTTTATATATAATTTTTTTCTCTAATACTTTTAAGTTGTAAATTTGGTTAAAAAAATTATAAAAAATTAAAAATTATTTTATTATATGATATATATATATATATATGTATGCATGCTAAGTCTAATTATATGAATTTTTACGGCAAAGATGGGTTAAAAAGCAGATTCTGTCGCCAGATGTATGTATACCAACATCGCCAGATTCAGAGTTTATCTGCAACAAATTAGTTAAGTTGTCAATTGCGTATTGTTATACATAACAAATCAATAAAAGTGACTGACATTACATTTTTTCAATAATAAAGCGAGAGCTATAGTAGTACGCAATTTGTCATCTAAACGTTTCAAATTCCACAAAATGTGATAATCTATCATATATATTAGCATATACACGTTTTAATATTGTATGTGAAATTCAAATATATATTTTTTCAAAAAATGCTTTGTGATAATAAATCGATATAGATTTGAATATATAATTAATATTCAATTTTAATTCAATTAATTTACGTAACTTTTTTTTATTTTCAGGTTATGACCTTATCTATATATAAAAAATAATATAGGTCCTATTTGACCATGATATGTATCCATATAATCCATTCTTGTGATCACTGTCTATACATTTATAACTTGAAAACTGGTACCGATAATTAATCAAACCTAGATGAAATAAGGCCAATAATTCCGAATATGTGATTGGGGATCAGTTACGTATGGTCTGTAATGGATCCCAAAGGGAACTTCTGATTCCCTATACAATCTCAATTAAAACTGCATGCGGCTTTAATTTGATGTTTAGTATTAATCACCTGTGGATAAATATGGGACCAAACTCAATTTTTGAGCTGTTTATCCACTAATGTTGAGTTGCAGAGGACCCTAATGCCTTGTGGTCTTCCCCGTATAGAAGTGTGCGGATGATATGTAATTATTGAACTTATTGTAATATTTTATTTATGAATTAGTTTATTTACTCATGAATCAGTAAATATCATTTTTGAATTTATCGAAAAATTAAATGTTTATTAGAAAGTATAAAAATTTAAGATAAAATAATAAAATAAGTAGTATGAATCTATAATTTAATTAATGTCATTACAATAACACCGCAAATGGTCAATGAATGCCATAATTTCCCAAATTTTGGGTTGTACTCTTTCATCTTTCTTTGGTTATAAAACTTGTTTATATGTAAAAATTGGGAGTGACATATAGATTACTATAGATATGATTACTAGGAAAGCAATTAATTAACAAAGTTACAAGTGGGTCAGTCCCATCTGATTGTGACAAAAGCAATAATAAAACAAGGGCTAAAGCATCTGATTTTGCAGGTTGGTGTATATTGTTAAGATTTGCTGGTGAGCTTAGATATTATGTATATATAAAAAAATAAAACAAATTTATTGATGATAATAAGGTAATAAATTAATGATATCTAATCATGAATTTAGAGAGAATAATAATGAAATTATGATCAAATCAAACTCCTATTATTTCATGCTTGTTTGTGGCTGTGAACAATGTTAGGTTCATTTGTATCATGTTCTACAGAACAAATTATGTCATGAAAAAAAAAAAAAAAGCCAGGTCGTTTAAAGCCTCTGTAGACCAATGTAATGCATCTAGATCTTTGATCAAACAAATGAAAAACTTAGGTTAAAAAGCAGCTTTTTTGAGCAAATTGGAGGGCCACATGGGACAACTAGCTAAGACAAGTTAAAAGGAGCTTGAGATACTTAGCAAAACAGTAAAATAGCAAATGATAAAAATGAACGACTATTAAGAATGGAAGATAACAAAAGCCACACAATGGTGATTCAAAGGATCAAAGAGACAAAATGAACCATCCAATTGATCTCATCTTACATTTATTAGAAAACTATTGCGATGATGAGCTGCTTCACCTTGGTGCTGAAAATTTATAATGGGGTAAGATGACTAAAAGATATATGTCTATTAAAGAAAGACCCATAAGTTGGTAAACATCTCTATCATGAATATACATATGAAGGGCAAAATTGTTTTATTCTTTAGTTAATTCTAACTACAGAAGGATAAACAAAGAAGCAAAGGAAATGAAAGAAAGAAAGACAGATTTATCTAATTATTAATTCTAGTTCATTAAGAAAATTTTATAGGCCTATGTTCTGCAAATCAAAACCTTCTATTTGGAAAAAGGGTTTTGAAATTTTTCTACTAGTCCTAATTTTATGTGAGTTGAACATAAACAAATTGGAATTGTACCTGCTCGGTATACTTTGTTGAGTCTTGTCTTGTTTTGCCTACTGTTTGATTTTGTTTTATCTTAATACTGAAACTAAGACTCTGGGTTTAGATCATGGAAACTACATCTTGTCTCAAGAGAAAAGATTTTTTGTTGATGTCCTCTCAGCCGTCTTAGCTTTGGGAGCTAGCCAGTTTTCCCTCTCACATGGAATTAATGTTTAATTATTCAACACCTTAATACCCATATCCTAATTAGTACTTTTTTGAAGTTTTGAGAAAATTAATGGAGTAATTACTAACAGCAGCTATAATTATTGTCAGGGTAACATCTTATGTGTACTTTTTTCTTTCATTAATTTGATGAATTCAGTTTTGAAGGACAGAAAGAAAACCCTTCATGACTTGGAAATTATGCGATTCAAGAACTTTGTCAAGAAACCATATCTCTGCAACAGGCTGCGGAGTTCTTGTTTAATAATTGAATCGAGTCTTTTCAAATAATTAAATCGATTAGTAGGCCAATGTAGTCATAATTCTTTGTATTTGATATATAGGTCTTTTGTCTTGATCTGCAGGAACTGGTCAACCAAGAAATTACAGCATAATCAAAACTTGATGTAGAATTGATAGTATCAGATAAAGATTTTAACAGATGAAATTTCCATTCCAGAAGAAAAACAAGCCAAAGTTAGCTAACAAAGCTCATATCACCTAACAAAACCAGCGGCTGAACCACGAGATCAAGGAGTGGACAATGATAGGTTCGATTTCTGAGGTACATGGCATGCGCAGAACCTTATTTGATATATTAAACGACAGAAGTTTGAAACAAAAGAGTCCTGAATTTGAATATGATGACTCATTTCATATATTTCTCTGTGAACTTGAATTCTAGTTACTGAATTCTCATCAGAATATGTACTGGAAAAGGCCGGGGAGTACCTCAAATTTGTATATAAAATGAAAAAAAAATGCAAATAATTTACACTTATACCAATGGGAATTTTTCCTACAGCTTTATTGTTGGTCAGTTCTGAGGCTAAGATTGAAGGAGTACACAGATTACCAAGCCTTTTAAATGATCAATTAAAATTTAATTGACAGCATTGAAAGGTGTTTGGAGAAAATTTTGTAACAGACAGGTGGATTGCAAGGAAAATGTCACATGCCAGAGAGAGTGACTACACTAACTTTCTGGTTGATTCACACCTTATCTTGTTGAAAAGCTAACCTATCAATTGGATGCTCTTTTACGTAACACTGCTCAATAATGCAGAGCTAAGAATGATAAAAAAAAAAAAAAAACAAACAAACAAACAAACATCTACTTACCAGCTCAAAGCTTAAAATTAATAAAGCATTTCTACTTTTCTTAATAACTTAATAAACGTGATTAATGAGGTGATTAGGATCTCTAGAACCCCCTAAAACTTCGGTATCGCGTCTAATTTACGTGCCACTTATTCGACAAAACATTACGTTACTGCATGCACTGTGATTATATGTCTGTACTAGTTGTCCAGCCAAAGTGTTGGAGGGCGATGGATTTTGAGTTTGACTCCTAAAACCTCTGAAGGGTAGATGAAATACATAATAGATCATCCAGGGAATTAAATACAATCAGTTTCATGTGGTACAATGCTTTGAACAGTTTGAAAGTGGTTTTATTTCTGGATAAAGTTTTATTAAGGGGAACTCAAATTCCATTTTTAGGTGTAACAAGAAGCGGAACATTTGGAAACTCAATACATGCAGCCTGCACAGGCAAGCTCTAGTGCAACTGGTTTGGCCCTCGGCAGTCGGCTTCTGTCAACTTCAGCCCAATAGCACCTTGTGGCAGAGAGATAACTGGGTTTCCAAGTTTTTATTCTAATTGCATCTAATGTCCATTATCTATACGGTTAATAGCTAGGAACAGAAATGCTAGTAATGAAAGCTGTGAATTCAGCTACATGAGGGAAGGTACAAGACTTTGAAAGTGTTTCATATAGCTCACTTTTAACATTTGTATACTGTTATTATTCTTGTACTTTTTAAACCAAAATTTTAATTTTATTTTCCATTAGTATATATTCATTCCCACCAGTGCATGGGTTTAGTTCCATCATCATGTTCTTTTAGATTGTTTATCACTAATATCACCATGTGTTTCAGTTTAAAACGAAGTGGAATATAATGAAACAGGCCTAGGTTACCTACCATATACACTTCAAGTTAGCTATGAGTCAATATCACTGCCAAATTGTTATGATCTGTGGATTCAAATTGGTTTAGACACAAATTTTGTAGAATAATGGAGTACCAAATTTCGAATAAAACAACATCCAAAGCTTTTTCTTCCCCCCCCCCCCCCCCTTCTTCTTTATATTGATTTGATAATTTAATCTTGAACTTCCATGCATTAGCCAGACGTGATTAATTAATGCTATTGAAAACCAAGTAGAATCGTCATCTACCTAAGTAAGGAAAACAAATAGGTTGGGTTTGGCTCAACCTTACTAAACCCATTAGGTAATAAGGCCAAAACATGATGAATTAAATAACAGAGAATTAAACTCTAAGTTTAACCTATTCGTATAATCATTTATAAAAAGTAATATTAAAATATATATGATTCAAAATCCAAAACCTACAATTTATTTTCATATCTATAGACTACGGTGCATCATCAAGTTGAAGAATTTGGCATGCTTATTTATTTCTAACAATTTTGATTTTTTCTGCTAAAAGTTTATGTTGAGGAAGCGGATTTATATACTGATATAGCATATTATAGAGTGAAAGAAAAAAACAACCTGATAACTTTCCATTTTCTTTTCCAATATTTTAATCAACATCGAATATCACTCGTTTATTAGCATGCTAGTAACGTAAAGTAACATAAACCAAACATGCATATATAATGAATTACTACTATAAAACTATATCTTAAAAAAAAAAAGAAAAAAACCAAATCAACAACTTGGAAGAACAAGTCATGTGACAGCCAATGTAGGCATGGACCAAATCTTAGGACCCTTTCTTCACTTTATTTGGTTCAACACTAGATGACCCAAGCCCATGTCTTTGTCTTTCCATGGGTCCTTGCCATGTTTCTCCACTTCCGGGCTCAGCTTCATCATCCACCCAATCATCTGTCACCATTTTTTGCTGATAATATCGGAGGGCCACAAAAAGCATGAAGGCTACACAATTTTATAACATGAAGAAAAATGGTTAAAAGAAAACCCATCAATTGGACGAGCTTTGCAAGGAAGTTAGCTTTTGAATTCGTTGAAAAACTGAAGCTACTTTTCTCACCAGCCCAAACGCGAGCAACAATCGAAGATAGGTTCCAAACCAGGGTGAAGATTGCCATTGCCACAGCTTTTTTATGTGTGCATGAATCCCATGCATCACCGAAGCGTCGAATCCAAAATTTTCCTTCGTATTCAAATTGATTTGAAAATTATTAGATCATGTTGGATTTTGAATTAAGAAATAAGAATAGACTAAATCAAACACTTTTGTATTTTAAAGCCAATAAATTAAGCTATTTGAACTACTTAATCCTATAATATTAAGCACGTTTAACCACCCCCACCAACCCAAATTCGAGATAAAGAATGACAATGCAACAAGTTTTCACCTAAAACTTTCATGCGAAGGGTTGTAATCAGAGGATAAAATTCCAAACATGATGAAAAGGGCATAATAAAGGAAATGGCTCGAATCAGAATCCGATAATGAAGATAATGATGTAATGATGGAGACTGACTTTAAGCCTGAGTGATAAAAGAGTAGGACCCAGAAACAAAAGAGCCGTTATATTAATCAGACCAACAGGATCTAAAAGATCAGGTCCGATTGTGGGGCATCCAATGTGTAGTGTGATTGAAATATTTTGTAACGGTAGATTAGAGTAATAATGAAGGGGGAATGGGATTTTACCGTATGCAGTTAATTGGTGGGAATAAGAAGAGCAGACTTTTGGGACGGTGAAAACGCCAAAAAAGCCTGACAGACAGTGAGCACAACCAAGCATCAGTTAAAAGTGAAAAAGCATTCAGATTTCATTTCACTTGACAGAATTTAAACAGTTCTGTTCTCTGTAGTTGTCATGTCATTACTCCAGGGTGGTAAAAACGATGCGACTCTTTCATTTCACTTGGACTTTGTTGCATGGAAAAACCAACAGTGTCCTTGGATAGAAAAGAGACAACCTATTTGTTTTTTGATGATAGAGTTGTTTTTCAAAAGTTGTCTAATTTATATAACAAAAAAAGAAATTTGTTTTTAAATTAGAAGGTAAATTTGTGATTTCAACCAAACAAACTTACCCAATTTAGCCATTTTCCAGATTGTTATGGAGCTGCCACACCTGGCCAAAACAAACAGCAGCACTGCCAACTGCAATTGCCCCAATTGATCAAATTCTTTTTCCATCCTCCTGCTCAATGTTAGAAATGAAAATGAATAACAAATGTTTGAAATATGGAAATTACCTTCATTGTGGTAGCAGGATCACCGGAAAAAAGTGCTCTGAGCTTTAATAGGAACTCGTTCAAGTAAGGAAGCACCAATTTAAGTATCCAAACGGCTTCTTCTTCTCCAAGCACACAGCTCGACTCATCTATATCCACAACTCCCCTGCATTGTTATAGACAGAAAAATAGAAGGTTAAAAAATGGATTGAAACTTAGAAATTTGATCATTCATGGCGTCTGATGCAGGGTTTTACCTGCAGATGATTGATTTGTAAAGAAAGATGGCAGCAAGGTAAACAAGACCCAGATAGGAAATTACAGAAATACAGCTGTAGAAGAAGCATTTATCAAACAGAGTTTTAGTAATGTACTGTGTCTTAAAACAGAGAAGGTTAAAATTGAAACTTGTGTTCATTGATAAATTTTAAGACCTGATGTTGAGGTCCTGGGTGTAAGAGGATGAGATGATGATGAATGTGCCCATCCCAAAGACCAATGCGGATTTCGATACGTCTCTCCACATGACTAAATCAACTGAAGGATTAACAAAGACACACAAGAAGAAGAAGAATTAAGCAAGTTGCAAATATGAAATTCATTGATCTGTCCAAGAAATGAAATCAATTTTCCACCTAAATTCTGCAATTTGTTCTGAGTTTGCGGGAAACTCTTGTAATGGTAATCATCTGAGGCTGAAACCGAAGGAAAACAGTACGGTCATAAACATTCAGAACTAAACAAATTTTATCTCAATAAAACATCATGTAGAAACATATACTTACAACAAGTAGGTTTTGTAGCAGTTGTGTAAACTGAAGTAGCACGCTTTACAACTGGTGGAGGCTGCTTATTCACAGTTGAAGAAAATGATGCAGTTTTGTTATGGAATTGGCTAATTTTCTTCACTTCATTAACAACATTGCTAGGTTTATCTTCTTGTAACTTCTTCACTTCATTGACAGCTTTGTTGGGCTTTTCTTCTGCCAATTTCTTCACTTCATTAGCAACTTTGTTAGGCTTCTCCTCTGGTACATTCATTTCCTTAATGTCAAAGCTCTTCTTTTCATAACCAACCTCAATTTCCTCCTCCTCTTCTTCCTCTTCTTCATAAATTTGTTCATCATCTTCAACATTTTCACCATCATTATCATCATCATCATCATCATCAATTAATAATTCAGGAGATGATTTCACTATATTTCCATTGCTTGTACTGCTTGAAATGACCTTGTCTTGGCACACACCAAACTCTTTACAGTTCTCCGCAGACTCAGATCCATTCTTCTCTGTTTCAACTGGGTTCTTCTCATTTTCTTCAATGGAAACATTATTACCATTTTTTTGATCATCCAAAACCAGAACTTTATTCTCCTCCGATTTCGACCTCCTCAATTGAAGTGAATTCCCTTCATTCCTGTTTCCACTATCAGACTGATCCGAGGCCTTAACTGAATCTGATTTTGCCTTCCTTAATTGAGCTGAATTCCCCTCTATTCTCTCACCAGATTCAACAACATCTTTACTCAGCTTAGCAGACCTTTTAGGAACTTCAGATCTTGGCTTCTTCAAATGAATTGGGCTTCTTTCAATTCCATCAACAGACTTACTTAGCTCCTTAGTTCCTTCAGATCTTCCTTTCTTAACCTGAATTGGAGCCTTCTTAATTCCATCAACAGACAAGCTCAAGTCTTTGCAATGTTCCATGAATCTTCCTTTTGCTATCCGAATTGGGCTTTTCTTAATTCCATCAACATTCGCACTCAACTCCTTGCACTGCTCCTCAGTTTTGCCTGAGGCAATCTGAATTGGGTTCTTCTCAAACCCTTCAATGCTTTCACCTTTCCAAGTCTTTCTCTTGCTATTAACAGCCACACCGCCAATAGTTTGGCCTTTCTTCAAGCTCAATTTTTTATTACCACCATCACTATTTTCTTCAGCATTACTGTTTTCTTCTCCATTGAAAACTTTAATTCCGCCTTTGACTTCATCACTCTTCATTCTAGTTTCCCACACTGACCCTGCAACAACACTGCTATTAGCTCCAGCTCTTCTATTACTCAAATCCATCTCTTTCCTCCTTTTTATCTCATCTTCTTTTACTCTTCCTTTCCTGTAATTGAGTACTACCGGCACATGGATGTTAATTATTGGATAAGAGGCTTCGGGTTGAAGAAATGGAGGTTGGTGGGGTGGAACTTTAGCTTCCCCTTTCCTAAGCTCTTGAGAGAGAGAGAGAGAGAGTGAGAGAGAGAGAGAGAAACACAGAGAGATAAGAGTGAGTGAGTTGCAAGGGACGGAGGATTGGGTTCCTTTACCTTTTCTTTTTCTCTTTTGTTCTGGTTTCTTTCTTTTTAATTAATGTTGGCTTTGGCTACTCATGAGAAGTCTGAGATACAGACGTGGTGGGGTTGAATGATATGGGGCGGTTGTGAAGGATCACATTTTTTCTCTGTCTTCTTTTGTTTCTTTATTTTCCTTTTGCATATTTGTTTCTCTCTTTTTCATTATCAAAGGGATATCTGAGACTGAGAGCTCACTGTAATCTATGCAACCAAAAGGGGTAGACCATTTTCACATGCAAAATGGAGACATTGTCCTTGCTGAGAGATGGTTTCCTTTCTTCTGCTAATTTTCTTTGTATCTGAGGCATGAAAAAACACGTGGTGTGAAAAAATTGCTAGGCAATCCTTGGCGTAGCCTTCCAAACTTGGCCAAAGCCTGGGGAAATTTTTGAGGCTTTTGTTTTTAAAGGTAGCTTTGTTGCCTCATAATTTTCGTGCTCAATCCTTATTATGGTCTAATTTTAAGCCAGAATCATTTTCTAAAGATCAAAAATCCGAACACCAAAAATAGATAAAGTGAAAACAAACAAAAAAATCCTACGGTTCGGTCGGTGAATATTGTCATTGTCAGGCCTTGAGACCCATGTTTTGGTTTGGCTGATTAGTCTTAACTAGAGTGGACTGTTTGGTGGCACGTTCAAAAGAAATGCTTGACTGGTGAATGAAGGGAATCCATGCTTTTCGTTTTATCCAAAAATAATCCAAGTTGAATTGGCTCAAGAGAATTCCCACTTATATCAGATATAAAAAGTTGACTTTCCAAAGCTCTTGTTTCTGTTAAACTGATTTTAATCAGTCATCTTCGAATGAAAATTTTTCTGAAAAAAGTTGAGCTTGGAGAAACTTTATCAAATTACAAGTCAGGCCAATTCGAGCCAAAATTTCATAAAACCCCTTAACCCACTTTTGAGACATCATCAAATAGCAGAGGCAATCTTCTTAGCTCCCCAGAATGAGATGTTAAAACCTCGCATCAGGAAATTGCAAGAAAAAGACAACTAAAATAGGTCATACTGTCACAAACACGAAGGCTTATGGCATACGGGAGGAATGTTTGGCGTAAGGCTAACTGGTAAATCCAATTAGTACATGAAGAGCACAGTAAATTGTAAGGTTGCAACCCTACCCCACCATCCCACCCTTTCTTTTAACAAGCATGTGAGGTCATATCATGCCAAGAGCTGCCTCCATGTATGGACAAATTGAAGTTGTACTCTTGTTCCCACCGACACCAATTTACCAATCTAATAATTATGGGTAATAATTTGTGTTTGCAACGTTAAAAAGCACTGCTTTTCTTCTTTTTTTTTTCCCCCTTATATAGGTGGGGTGTCTCTCTTTTGAAAAAAGGTTGGATTTGAGATTCAGTCTCAGACTTGGAGCAGTTCACCCTCTTAAATTGAAGGAACCTGTAACAATGGAATATAGTATGTTTGAAATGGTGAAAAAAAAAGTACAGCTAGAAACGTGGCGAGGACTGCAACAACAATCTGAACTCCACAATTAGTCATCATTAAGGCCACCGAGTTAGGCACCTAAAGACCAAGTAATCGGGAATTTTCACCAATATTGACAACCAAGTTTATACACATCAAACTAAACAAACCAATGCATCAAACTTCGGATTTCACAATCCCGGAGATCATGGAAGTCAAAGCTTCATTTGATATGTTAAAAATGAGTCAGTAAGATCCAAATCAATAAAAATTTAGGGAGTAGCAACAAAAATAGGGAGCCAATTTGTTGGATTTGGCATTGATTACAGAGAATAATCTCAAGTATAACTTAAGCAGCTACGCAGTGATAGAGTAAACTATAGAGTTGGGATTCCCCTCCCCATTTTGTTCCGTTGAAGGCACATGGTTCGCACGCCTAGCAAGATATGCTACCTAATTATGTCACCAAGACACAAAATATTTCCAATATTTAAATATACTTATTCTGAGGATTTTAAAGCTGATACATTTACATTTGCAGTAAACATTCTGACAGATGAGCTCTGATTTTGATTAAATATTGTAAAGTAGCTCACTTACTCCCACATAATTTAAGAATTTAGAGTACCAAAGCAATGGCCGATTCGATTCAGCTGAGCAAAACTTAGTTTATATATAATTTGATTGAGTATTGTGGGGTGATGGATATTGGTGACAGGTGACCCACAATCGTCAACTATCAGTAACGACTTGGTTTTAGAAAATTGATAATCATGGTCCAGTTTGTTGCGTGGGAAAATGCCATAAATTTCATCAAATCTCGCAAAAATTTCATCAAATTCTGATATAGGGATTGCAGTAAGCGTTGAGAATGGCATACAAGTAGTTGGCAGGGTAAAAAATGATAAAATAATTGATAATTTTTGCCAAACTTTGACCCTTCCAACACTTGAACTAAGCTCCAACAACTATAAATAAAGTTAAAAGGGGGGTTGATTTAGCATCTGTCAGATATTATAAATCGACAAGGAATGAAAGGCAAAAAACGGGTATTTGATTATTTCTCATTCTGTTGTTTGTATAATCTGGAAATAGGATTGAAAATCCTTGTTGCGTAGGAAAATAGAATCATTATTCAATCATGATCAGGCTATAGTAAAATCCTAACAAAGAACTATCAGCAAAATGTCTTTGTTTTCAATGTACTTTCACATGGATGGTTTGGATCCGTTGGCTTGACAGGAAGCCACGAAACAGACTTCAAAGACTTAAAATAGGACGCCAGACACCTGACTTGAGTTTTCCAGAAAGTTGTATGCCTTTTCCCATAAAGCTTGTGGAAATGGGTGAAACTTCTTGAATGCTATGCATAAAATGTAATAATGCACAAATTTTAACCAAATTAAACCTATGGAATCTTAAATATAATCTAATTTCGCAAACTATATAAAGCTGTAAAATCAAAGATGAAGCTTAAGATATCTATTTTGTGCAAAGGAGCCCCATCAATAAATATAGCAGATATACAGTTTCCACAATGATATATTTGTTGTGAAACAAAACATGACATTGGCCAAAAGCAAACTCATGAAAATCAAACAAAAGTAACAAACAAAATTTTGATGGGGGAAAAAAGAGATTCACAATCCCCAAAATCTTTCTGGAAAACTACTTACGAGTTCTGTGAGTGGATATTTTACAAGTTGCCTACGGAAGTAATCGAATAGTTTAACTCCATCTCTGCTCCAACAAAAATGATAGACCAAATCAGTAAGTTATATAGTATGGAAGGGAAGAAATGAAGAGGCGGAGTTATTGACCTAAACTAGGGGACATGGCTGAAAATGAACCGCAATAGGTTAGTACTTAGTACTTACTAGTGCTTGCCACTCAAAAGCTTCGAGTTTGTGATGAAATGCATCACTTTCACATTTAAATTCCACATTTGATGTATCAGTCAACCATACGTTCTCCTCTCAACAACAGCAACCCCTCCACCTTCTTTTTCTGCTAATTTAAATACTTGTTGGACTCCTGTACCCTCTCTTCTCCTGAGAATGGAAGCAGTTTAGGATGATCTCTGAATCATTTAACATTGCTGCTCTCAATAGAAGTTTGTAATATATTTTCTGATTTGTTCTGCGAAGCATTCATCTTCAACTTCTCACTTTTCGTTGACTTTTTCGTTTCTTGCTCAAGCTGCTTGCAGTTCTCTTCATGAGCTTTGTTAAACATCCTTACAAAATTGAGTAGAGTCGAAGTAACTACAGCAGACAGCAATAGTTTAGAAGAATAATATAAAATACAAAGAAAAATAAAAACTAGTAAAAAGTAACTTAACTTCAGCTGTCCATTAAAATGAATACAAGGAAGTAAGCGATTTTCAAATGAAGTAAACCAGATGAACAGGAGGGTATCCTTGAATCTCCAACAAGTAACCAGAAATTAGGTCTTCATTCTTAGAGGAAAAAGAAGCACATTTGAAACATTATAGGCTAATAAACAGAGATATAGAAGCATTTTAGACTCGAGCAGCAGACTAAGCTTCCTCTTTTCATTTTTTTTCAATTTCTTCTTTCATTTTTGTACTAGATTAAAGTCAAAGGTTTTACTTTTGTATAATTCAGCAACAGTCAAGATGTAAGTGGCAGTACAAACTGATGACAACTATCAAATACCTTGTTCAAAGGGACAACGAGCTGGATCTTCTCCAAAATAAAGAATCAACGCATCCACATTTCTACCCTGTTAATAAAGAACTCAGATAATGAGTGGTTTAATATGGAAAACAAATACAAGAGTGCCACTGTTTGAAACACAATCTAGACACCTACCACCCCCGAGTATAGTGAAGCCAGGGATCTCACTTCGGATTCGGCAAAACAAAGGAACTCCTTTAAAGTCTGGACAACAAAAGAAACATTAAGAAAAATATTATATTTTACATACATTAAAACGAATTATATGCTTAAAATACCTCACGGAAATTTTCGGACACAGGTCCATCATTTTCAGAACTGGACAGTTCCTGCACAACTTTCTCTAATCCTTTGCTTATGGCTTGCATTTCCTCTGCCAAAAATTTCAGTTGTATCTAGATGGGAACCACACATCAGCCAAAAATGCTAGCTCTAACTTATGTCTTCGTAAAATTATTTTCACCAAGAACAGGTAACATACCTTTGACGCAGGTTCTAAACTGGAAATATCTTTTGAAAAATCCAGTAGATCTGGAAGCTTATCAGCAAGCACCTACGATTTATTATTCAGGATTATTGTGACCAACTCAAAATGTTAAACTTTTGACAGTTGGTTACCAGATTAAAGAAACTAATTTAGGGGGAAAAATCAGTACAGATTCATAAATACTTTAGAATCAATAAATAAAGGGTACGGTTATGGTCACAGCACATCCAAATGATGGATCACAACTTGTACCTTGCAAAGGTAATGCATGAGAGTCATTTTGTTGTTCCGCGCACGTGTATCGGTTAGTTTGAGAAGACTATCCAACCTAAATCCAATAGCAGAACCTAAAAAAAAACATTGACATTGAATAAAAAGTGCAAAAATTAACATCATTAAAGAAACATTAGAAAAGCAGAAGACAGGACATAAGCAAATGTAAAAAAAAAAGAAAAAGAACAACAATAAGAAAATAAGCAAAAAAATATTAATGAGGACTGTGAAGCTAAATCTAATGGATTTGGATTCATGACGATGACATAAGACAGTTGACTGAAACTCGATACTCAAAGGCATCTTAAGCTGTATCAGGGTTAGAGGTCAGATAGTTAAGCCAAAGCCAAGGACGACTTGACAATGCAATGAGAAGCGGGTGACATAAATGGAAAAAAAAAGAAAAGTTAAATCTTGAAAGAGATAGAGATCGGTGGTTCAAAGAAGTTTTCAAGTAAAAAAATAGAAAAGAGTATTGTAAGGGCATTCACCAGACACTTGATCATAATTAGCAAAATGTCATTAGCACTAAATTCGGATGCACATTTGGAGCCTGGACGATCCCAATTAGGACTTATTATCAATCTTTCACTGTTGATTATGATGCCTCCTAATATTGAGGATATGCATGTATGATAGCGTGTTACCATTGTTCCTGTACCAGACAAATCATACTTAACTCACCCCTTGCAGTTCCCTGGTTCAAAGCATTTCCCAACGAAAGAATTGTCTGCATGATTCTCTTCAATTTGACAGAATTTCTGATCTGATAAGAGAAGTTTTGACATTAATATGTTGTCAATCATTGGATACCTAAAGCAGTTCACAGAAAAGCAAAAAAGTATAACTTGCCTCCTCTGCTGTAGAGTTTACAACATTAAGGCTACGTCTGAGGTCAGAAACCTAAAGGACAATTGAAGGCCAGATAAGCTACAAAGAAAAGCCAAGAACATTTAGCAACTCTGGAATTTGGGTACAGATTTTGGTCAAACCTGGGAGCGAAACTGTATCTTAAAAGAGAACACCCTGAGTTTGGATTCTACTCTGGGAACTTTCATTAGCTCCAAGAAGAACTGTTTCAGAGGTCCATGAAAAATATTGATCCATTAGTGATTATTGATAATATAAAAGTTCATAGGTTGTTAATATTCAAAAGCTATTCAAGTGAAAGCCAAATTGGCTAGTTCAAATGTCCCTTTCCTGTTGATGACAAATTATGATATTCAACAGAAAGTATACTGGTTAACAATCACTCAAAATTTTAAGAAGAGACCTAGCAGACAAGAAATATAGAAACAGCAATAAAATCCTACATACCAGTTCACATTTCCCCAACTTTTCCTTTTCTCCAGTGTAGCCCTAAACAAGGAGTTATGAAAGCAATTATAACTCAAGGAAAAGATAATACCAGTACCTTGAATATAAGATGTTTTGACTACAATAAAGGCAGAAAGATGATTAGAGGAGACCATCAAGTCTAATGTTACTATGATGAAGGATTTTAAAAAATTATTAATCAAATAATAATGATTCGTTTCACCTTTAGTACTTCCATCTCCTCTTTGGTAGGACAAAATTTTATGAGGTTTTCAACCTGGTCAACATCTAATGCTGATTCTTCCAAGGCAAGAACCGAACTCTGCGAAAGTTTCATTAAATAGTGTCAGGCTAACAAGCACGAGATACTAACCTAATCTGATTGAATTATAAATAGATTGTTCACTATATTCACATATTGCGACTTTTTTGCTTTTCTGAACCCACATTCGAATGGAGATGCATTTGTGCATACAAGTTGATATTTGTTCTTATTGAGTGAACATTCATATTATTAAGGACTTACAAAATCCGGACTAGCATTTGGTAGCACAAACATGTTCAAAAATGCATTTCTAAATGAGCAATAAAATGTTTTCTTTTGGCCAGGAATGAGAGAACCCTAAAGGTCTGCCATTTTTTAATAGTACATTGTGTTCTGACTTCTGGATATACCGAGGAAATCAGAATAGGATTTAGCGTGCACATTTTATAAAGCTAAAGATGCGGACCAAGCTTTTATTAATAAAAAAGTTTGTGTAGCTTCTGCACTAATATTTTCAACGTCTCCCTTGGTATCCAGAAATTACAGTAAGCTTTATCCTTAAAACTGCATATAAGCTAAGCTTTTCACTGTCCATCAAAACTTAGTACCATTTCCAAACAATCTAAAACCATAGGCGGTCTGAAGGACTAAGTTGTTACACATATATGTACATTTGTTAAGCAAAAAGAGACCAGGATGTTAAGATGAATAAGCAGCGAATTGGTGAAAGGACAAAATAGAATCCAATGCTAGGATATGGGTTTGCAGTTGATTTGAGGATTAAGATTAACCAAAAGTAAGGTTGCAGAGCAACAATGTTAGAGAAATCAATAATTACAAGCTGTGGATAATACGATTCAACCTACCATTAAGTCAGGCAAAGGCACTTTCACTTTTGAAAGCATGATTTCGCAATTATATGCACGTCTGTGGTCAATCTGCAAGAAGGAATGATATTAAACAAAGGCATACTAAAAATATAATAATAAGGTTCATGATATAGTTATCATCACAAAGCCCACGGAATAAGTCTCAGTTCATGTGTGAGTATGAATCAGACTGAAAGTTTGCATTTCTTATGTGCACCATTTGGAAACAAAAGGGTTTTAGCATCTAGGTCGCTTGATTCAAGTTTCCAATCTGGAGCGGTATTACAATGCTTCCTATTTCCCTTGGCAAGCAGATGAGCAATGACAAGAAAGTGGATGAAAAATGCACTTAGTATTTAATATACAACACATTCAGCCAAGGTTAAATTGTATAGCATGCGGACTTAAACTACAGATGCTAACATCTATGAAACAAGCAATTAAACCATCAACTGTATCACTTAAATATATATATATATATATATAAAATTCCATTACCAGTTGCACCTTCTCAGATTTTGGCCCACGTGCTGTACGCGAACTTGATTTACTTCCACGATCTGTATTAGGAGCTGCTGCTGAGAAAAGATGCTCAAGCTCTGACATGTCAATCTCTGGAGCCCTACAAAGAGGGGTAACCATTCCAATAAAATAAAAGGAAACAAGAAAAAGACCATAATACTTGAACGAAACTTAAAAAGAAAACAAAAACCAAACTTAGCAGAGCAGCACATACTTGGAAGCTTCACCCAATTTTTGTGCTTCAGCCCATAGGCTTCCCTGCACAGCTCTAGATAACTTCAACCAATGCAATGGCTTTAGTTTCTTGGTCTGGTGACTCTTTGAACTAATCGTACGCGACAGAAGTCTATTCTTTGGATTCGTGGAAGAAATAAAAGGTGGTGGTGCAGGAGCTGAAGATCCACTACTACCTATAGATCGAGTTTCTGGAGAAACAGCATTTGTCTTTTTACCAAAAGGAGCAGGGGGAGGCGGGGCAGCAGGAACTTGAGAAGAATTTGATGACAAGGGAGGGGTGGGTGGTGGTGGTGGTGCGGGTGCTAATGATGAAGCTGTATGAATTGCCGCTTGCCTGGAATGAAAAGGAGGTGGAGGTGGCGGGGATGCAGATCTAGAAGCTGAATTTTCCTTCAAAGGTGGCATTGGAGGAGGAGGTGGGGGGGCTATAGGAGGCCCAGCTCTAACACGTGTTGGAGGAGGAGAAGGTGGAGGCACTGCAAGAAGTCCATCTCTAACAGCTTCAATTTTATTCAAAGGAGATGCAGGAGGAGGTATAGGTGCTGCTGGAGTTGTAGCTCTCAAAGCTAAATTTTCCTCCAATGATGGAGATGCGTCCAGAGGTACACCACTCTCTTTCAAAGGCGGTGTTGGAGGAGGTGGAGGAACAGCAGGAAGGATCACTCTAACAGCTGGGTTCTCCTTGCGAGGTGGTGTTAAAGGAGGTGTCAAAGTTGAAGCTATTGCAAAGGCTGGAGTGGAAGTAGAAGAGGAAGCCTTCGAAGACTGATCTTTGGCTAATGCAGTCTGATTTTTGTCCTGTAAGTAAGTTCCAGTTTCTTTGGCAGGTGAAGACTTTAATGGTTCTAATGCTGAAGAAAGAGGAGTTGGCAATGGTGGAGGTGGTGGGGGATGAGGAAGAGCTTTTGTTCCACCAGAACTTGAGGGAGGTTGAACTGGAGGAGGTAGAGGCGCTTGGGATGAAATTGAAATGCTTTTAGTTTCATCCACTTTAGGTATATTTGACACTGCCCGAGAAACATTTACTGCAGCTGCAGATGTTGTAGTTAAATGACTGACCCGACCAACAGATGATACAGAATCAAGCAAATTCGCAGTATACTGGTTATTTTGTTGATGCGTGACATCAGACCGAGCGAATGGTTCAATGTAAGAGTCTTGGGGCTTAGCCTCCTTACTTGCATCTGAATCAATAGATGACTCTTGTGAGGGTGCAGGCAGAATCTTCATACCCATAGATGCAGGACTCCTTGGGCTACTTGGTAATCCCGTGAGCTTTTTTTCCTTCTGAAGATTTTTAGGACTTAATCTCCCCAGCCGAGGGCTGAGGTTCACGCTGCTATTCCAATCACTGTCAGACTTTTCTTGGACAATATTTGATGCACCTATTTGTTGAAGCACGTTGAATGCAACATCTGCCCGAGGATCCATCCAGTCAACATTACTAAAGATTTCTTGAACTTTGGAAAATGCTTCCATTGGAAGACCTTCTTTATCTTCAAAGCAAGAAAAATCCATGGAAATAATGGAAGAAGCAGCATCCATTTCTGAGAAAAGAATCTTCATACAGAGGGCAACTTTTTATTAGAAAAAAAGAACCACAAAATTACAAGCAAAATGTACAAAAATATATACCTCAGCTCTAAATTCTTTTGGAAACAGCTCCTTGGCATCCCATAAAATATCAATGTCATCACGATTGAGCATCAAAATGTTTGATCTAATAAAAGCTGTGTTAAACACAACCCTGAATATCATCCCCTCTCTTTCCATGTCATCATTCAAGTTGATACACTCAACCACAACATCACCTTGAATATGGCAATTTATGTCAATTTTAGCAAGCGCACACTCTTTCTGCAATAGATTAGTAAAAGGTAAGAGTTAAGACAATCACTTGCTCTAGAGTAGAATCAAACACGTCTATACAAAAGATGTGATAATATGAACAAGCATAGGCCCAAACCGTATGTGGGTACGTGTCTATACATAGAGTAAGGAGATTATTGTTATAAAAATTAATGACTTTTTCATATATTAGAGCATAACTCCCCAAATTTGAACAACAAAACAAGGTTATATATAGCAGACGTATCCTAATTAACAACTGAAGCACCTAAGACGAAAAGGTATCACATCCCTCACTAGTCTTCAAGATTAGTCTCAAGATTGTAATTTAGATGTGTGACATGCTTCAAAATCCTTAAAAGATATTTAGGAATGTCAACCACTTTCCTTTAATAACGAAAAAGGGGAAGGGAATGAGAATGGAAACTGATATAAAAAACTAGAAAGATGTGATATTACCTGCTTATAATACCGGATAGATTTGCTTCTTGTGGGGGTTGAGTACAAAACTTTTGAAGTTCTATCAACAACAAGAAAAGGATCCTGTCCATATATTCTAAATATTGGACGGCAGCCTCCCTCTCCATCAACATTTGGAATGTATCTAAGAATGATGCAATCCAAGGTGAGAGCTCGATCCAAAGGAGGCCATTCTGAGGCCACATTCCTCCTTGAGACATACTGTAAATATCTCAATTGTGAAGGCATTGGATTCAGGGGTGAAAGCAACTGCAAAAGCTCACGAGGAGCTTGCCTGTATATCATGTCCAACGTCTTCTGCTCTCCGCTGTACTGCTTCCTATATAATAGCAATGCAGCCAGCATGAAGGCCAAGACTGGCCAACCACCCCGTTCACAATGCATTAGCAGCAAATTATGCTGACCAAGTGAAAGCCAGCTTTCGCACGATCTCAGAAAATGGTGGAGCACCTCCATTGCGATTAATGGGCACCCTTCATAATGACGAGGGTAATCCATTATCGTCATATCATACTCAGATAGAAATTCAGCGATCTGGCTTTGTGGTTCTCCTTCTCGGAAATTAAAGACCAAGAATGAAGCATCAGGGAAGTGATCTTGAAGATGACTAACTATTCCTTTTATGTAGACTTCGTAGTTTTCTTCTTCCCAAGCATCAATAGTAAAGCAGCAATCAAAAACTACATGCAATCACAGCACACACAATTTGTCAAACACCAATTGATAAAATTGCAGAATAAGAAACAAGTTAAAATTCATTTAGCTAAACTCTGGGTTTTTTTTTATCATCTGCTCGTACACACTTAAACAAAGAATTCAAAAATCAAACTTTGCATTCTTTCCCAAATTTCCTAAGCGACCAAACAGAAACCCATATTTTAAAAAACAGCAATTTTTTCAAAAGTCATATTTAATCACCCAAATATTAATCATTTCCGGTGTGACCAACATCTCCACATTTCAAAAAGTTAGACAACTAAAATCCAATAAAAACATAAACTTTTTATTTTTAGCATTACCAATAAAAATAAAGAATGCAAATTGAAGAAAGCCAAGAAAACCCAACGTACCGTAGACACGTTCACAGATCTCCAGAAGGCCATCAGGTGGCTTCCTGTAAAAGAGTTTACGAAACAAGGCCATGTCTGTGGTCCAAAATCCTTGAAAACACAACAACTAAATCAGACTCCAAAGCAGTAAAAAAAAATAAAAATAAAAATAAAAGAAGAAAAAAAAACAGACCTTGCCCTTGGAATAAGGAGTTGTTGAAAGTGAATTGTGGAATTCTATTTGTTTGTTGGTTGGGTTGTGATATTTATTGGAAATTAAATTGAAAGACTTTTAGACTTGCAGATAAAGGAAATGATTTGGTGGGTATATTTATTTCTGTTTCTTTTAGTGTTTGTTGTTCGATACTGAAAAAACCAAAAGATTCTCAAAATAATGATTTGATTTGATAGAATAACGAAAGAGATAGAGAGATAGAGTTTGTTAGTTTGTTCGTGCAGTGCCCTAAAAAGGTTTGGGCTTCAGCTTTGCAGCTGACAAGAAAGTGGAGAATCTGTCAGCTGTCACCTAACTGAGTGTCGTTTTATGACGTGGATACCATCTATTGCCGACATCTACCACTTCACATTTATCTAATTTTTGTTTTGTTTTATGCGGTATTTTCTTTCATTTTCATTTTTTTTACGAACCAATTACGTAGAAAATGATTGGGATTTTGGGAAAACCCGAAAAGGTAGAAATTGTCTCCTTTTCTCTTCCTTTCAGTTTTCACTTTTCATTAATCTATGCTGACAATTTCAATTATATACTTTTTTTTTATTATTTTCGTGTTTATAATAAAAGGGTATAATTTTTTTAATATTACATAATAATTAGAAGATGGGAATGGAGAAATTAATTCAAGTTCAAGATTGGTTACTTTCAAGTTGTTGGGTTGACCACAAGGCAGCTAGTAAATACTAGGAAAGTCTCAATAAAATCTCATAAAGCTTTGGCGGTTGGGCCGGAATTTTCAGGATATAGCCATTACTCTCTGTACCGTCAGGATATATGATGAAGGAGATAAAGATGAAAGAAAATCAGTTGGAAACAAAAGGGTTTTAGTTGTTTTGGGGGTTTACCATCTGCTTTAACCTGAACATGTCAACATCATGAATGACCTCTGCATCTGGAAAACTCAGTTAGCAATGCCAAACTTGTGATTAAGTGGTCATGTGACGTTATTGAAGTTTCCTCAAATCCTGGTAAGAAGCTTGCAGAAGGGGAGATGCCTATTTTTGCATCCGTAAGTAAAAGCATCTGATTTTCAATGCTTTCAACTGAACACTTAAAATCTAAATTTGATGAAAACGTTGAATGTGCATGGTGTAAACAGCAAACAAATTGGCAGAAAATAAAATTCTCCTAACTGTACCTTAAATTGGGAGTTCCCAAGTAATTAAATAATCATTGACAGCACATTCATTAAAAGCATTCATTAATGGATCAAACATGCAAGAATTGTCAAAATGGCATTGGGTATTTCTTCTTAGCTTCTAGCGAATAACTATATATTCTCAGGTAAGCCTGGAATTAAAACACTAGTATCTATTAGACAAATTTGCTTTAATATGTTGTTAAAATTTCAGTCTTGTTTCTTTTCTAAACAAAAGATGTATTTCATTACCTGGAGCTCATCTGTGTCACGGACCGCGCACGAATCCTAGATCAAGAGAGTCGCGTGATGAGATTTATTTAAGATGGTGCTGGCAAAGCATCAAGAAGGATCAAAACTGAGATCCAAAAGGTCCATACATCAATTATGCGGGTTAAGGCCAAGATCGAAATGTAGAAGTACATTTGTGGTGAGTTGCACGGTGCCAGGCATGAGGATTATTTGCTGAAATGTTTTAAAAAATCTTAAGATATGATACAGACAGTCAGATATAAAAAGATCTAAAACCAGCTGAAGACAGACCAGGTCGTGGACATAGAAGGGTATAAAATCGCCCGAAGACAAATTAGGCTGGTGGGTATGAAAGGATCTAGAGATGCTTGGAGACAGATCAGGTGCGCCGGCACTTAAAATTTCAGAAAGGTTAGGCGCGGGCACAGTGATAGACACTATAACACCTAGGCAAGAAAGCCTTTAGAAGGCTCTAGCTTCGGGCCTTGGCCTTAACCAAAATATGGGAGTATACTCGTAGTGAGCTACACGGTGCTAAATACGAGGATTGTTTGTTGGAAGGTTTTAAAACATCTTAAAATATGACATGAACAGTTAAACATAAAAAAGACGATCGCACAATAATTAGGCTTAAGCTCTTATCCAGTCATCTGCTACCTTGATTTTTTGTTAAAAGAACTTTGATATACATTTCTTCTTAATTGTCAGACGCCTATTATACTTTGATAGCCAATTACTTTTGATTTTTGACGTCTAAAACCACCTGATGGATTCGTCAATTCCTGGGGATCATATGATCTTACTCTTGTTCCCGAACCTTATCTCCAACTCCAATGGGATCAGTTAAGGACGGCAGTCAACTTTTGACACAAAACAAAACAGTAACCGCGTTACTCTCCTTCATTTAATTGGTTGATGGAAAGATCGAAAATGTGTATCAAAGTACTCCACTTGGGCTCTTCCCCTTTTGTCGATGGCTCGAGTTCAAAATGGGTCGGTAGTGGAATGAGAAAGGATTAACCCTCGGGAAGTAACGATGGAGCAAATTTATCACGGAATTCATGCTTTCAATGAGTTAGGCCTGGGCCGAGGGAAAGAAAATCTTCCCCTACCAATATGGGACTTAAGGATTTCTTTGACTAAAACAAAACGTACGGCTAATGACTATCTGATTCTTTGAAAAACTGCCGGCGAGAACTTAACCATATATGGCAGCACTTTTTTTAATATAAATATAACAATACATATTTCAGTAAATTATTAAAACCCCATTTCATACATCCCAAAAAAAAAAAAAAAATTCCAAGAAGCCGTGAATGATAAACAAATAATAGCCATGAATGGGGAATGACCCGTGGAATCGTTGATTGCTATCCACAAAAGAGACAGTCAGAGAGCAAGAGACACGCAGACCACAAAAGTGTGAACTTTGCAGCAGTTGTTATCAATTGATTTAATTTCTATTGGAGAGGTTCGGAGTATTTTCGAGGGCTCTCTCTTTTGCCCCTAGTTTAGTTTGTCTGGCTTAAAAGGCCTATCTTCCGCTTCCCATCCTCTTTCTCTTCACTTCTATTCTCTTCACACTCATCTAAGACCCTCTAAGAAGGGAAGGGAAAGAAGGGGTGCTAAGAAGCTGGCTGCTTTCTGCATTTCTGTTCCCATGGCTTGCAAAATCTCAGATTCTATGTTCCTTTGCTTGGTATGCTCTGTTTTTTCTGTATAAAACGGTAATCTTTCTTTGTTTTACCTCTAAATCTTTTTGCTTTATTGGTTTGATTTTCAGGGTCCTACTCAAAGGCCAATTAGGAGTCAAAGAATTGCTACCCATTCATCTGCAGGTATTCAATTTTCTTTCTCTCTCTTTAATATTTTCTATTAAGCTCGAGAAATTTGAGCTATTGTCTACGCAATAAGGTTTTAGGCTCATTCGGTGATTTCGGTTTTGTTATTTTGATGTATTTCTTAAGTTGGTGTTTTTCGCAGTTCTTGTTTTGAGTTGCATTGCCTGTTGAATATGGTAATTCAATTTCTAGTTAATTGATAAAAAAAAGCTTTGAATACTTTGTCTAGTCTCTTGCATCAGAATTATAAGATCTCTGATTCTGATAATTAGAAAAATAAGAAGAATGAATGTTCACTGCGTGAATATGAAGCTACAGTATAACAAACAATTAGAAGTGCTACCAGAAGGTTTAGAACAAGTCTCAAGGTACATACGCATGTTATGTCAACATTTTGGTTACAAACTTACAGTAACTAAGCTGCAAAAAAGGACATGGGGTACCTTATCAACCAAATCGGCAACAATTAAACCACTAAGTAGATGCTCTCTATTGTAAATAAAAACCTTTTTCTCTAACTTCTTAGAACTTACCTTATACTTGCAACAGTGCAGAGCAATGGTTAATTGAAAGAACTTCAAGTAGACAGGTGGCTAGTTTTTTTAATCCATCATATCCCATGTGAAGAATCTTGCGATAAAACTATATTATGAGAACTATTTATCTCAGATATGACATAAGCGTCTGGAGCTAAATGCCATTAAGCCCAATGGTTTCATAGTTGATGAGTGTCCTTTCAGTTTGTATGCACAATAATCTTGTGCAACTTCTGAGTTTTTAGCCTTCGCCTATGTATGATTAGCATATAGTGTAGTATGAATTTCATGTGCTATTATTCCATGTAATTTCAGTATTACAGCTTTTTAATGCCTTTTTCTTTCAATAGCAAGTAGCAGTCATTTGAAGTGGGAAAGCCTTCCCCTCAAGGGAATTAATCATAAAAAGGGTTTAATTCCCATGAAAAGGACTAAGGTCATACAAGCTGTCGCAGTTCCAGTAACACCATCTTCAGCAGACAGTACTGAGTACGGAAAACAGTTAGCAGAAACATATGGCTTCAGGCAAATTGGAGAACCACTTCCTGATAATGTTACATTGAAGGATGTTATAGACACCCTTCCAAAAAAGGTAACTTTTTTATAGTTGCCTCATGCATCCAACTTGTTCAGATCAGATCACTTTCCCTGAATTTGGTTCCAAGTATAACATTTTGCCATTTTGGACCCACTGCTGGGTGAACTTTTAGGCCATATGATTATCTGTATGAGCAAGATTGTGTAATGAACTAATTTTATTAAACAGTTGTACATTTTCTCATTCTTTCATGTTTGGAGATATGTGCTCATAGCCAGATGTCAGCTGTTAAATATAATAAAATAATTTTGCTTTTACAGAAAAGTGGATCAGGGTGTTTAAGGATGTTTTATTTCTGTATGCTTATTATGATACTTTGAACTGAACAAAGAAAAAACTTTAAGGTTGAATATTTGTATTGGTTTTTTATGGAGGTGAAGTTATGAACTTGAATTATGTAAATGCTATTATTTACTATTGAATCTCTTTACTTATTTCTCTTTTTTTTCCCAAATTTTCTTCTAAGGTGTTCGAAATTGATGATGTCAAAGCATGGACTTCAGTTTTAATATCTGTCACTTCCTATGCATTGGGGATCTTCATGATTTCAAAAGCCCCATGGTATCTACTTCCTTTGGCTTGGGCATACACAGGGACATCAATAACTGGGGTAAGTTTCTTTACAGTCTCTTCATGTTATTTTTAATATTACCAATTTATTTATTATGAAAGCACATTCAATATACATCTATGCCAACTTTTCTTTTCCTTTTTCCCCTCCCATTTCTTTAGTTCTTTGTTATAGGCCATGATTGTGCTCACAAATCATTTTCGAAAAACAAATTGTTGGAAGACATTGTGGGAACTCTGGCCTTTCTACCACTAATATACCCATATGAGCCATGGCGTTTTAAGCATGACAGGCATCATGCAAAGACAAACATGTATGTATGATATTTTATTATTTTATTTATTTTTTGTAATAAAACCTATTTTGTTAGTATCAATGACGTTACTTGGACTGTACCTTACTATGGTGTCAGCATCTTGAAATGCACTTTCTTCTGCAGAACGTTAAATTTTTTCTCTAATATTTCAATTAATGAACATATAGACTATGTAGAATAAATTTCTATGAGAGTTTTCCCTAGTTACTGATCTGAAAATTGTGTCATTTTTTAAATGATTAAGTGGAGAATGTTGCTTCTCGATCTGTCATTTGATATCACTGGTTATACACAGGAACACATACAATACGGGAGATTCAGCAGTTTTGCTGTATATGTGCTAGATTTCTTTCTTAGAGTGGACTCCCCTACCCCATTGGGAAGATTAGCTCCTTTTTCAGTCATGTTACCCTTATATATGTAGTGTAAACTCTTGATTTTCTACCCAATTTGTTTGATATTGTTGCTTTGGTGGCAAGTCTGCCTTAAGCTTCTGCATTTAAATTCCACCATTTTGCTCTTTCATACATTGTAATCATGCTGGTTCTTTACTTCCATTGAATTATATTTCTTTTATTAGTAATCTTAACTTTTAAAATTTTGTTCTTTATTGATATCTGTAGGCTAGCTGAAGATACTGCTTGGCACCCGGTTTGGGAAGAAGAGTTTGAGACTTCTCCTTTTTTACGCAAGGCAATTATCTTTGGGTATGGCCCATTTCGGCCTTGGATGTCCATAGCTCACTGGTATGCAATTATTTTTTTTTTTGGACCTTAGTGTCCACATTTATCATTAATAGTTAGCATGTCTCATTTCCACTATCTTACCCTTCTTAATTTGACATATACATATTTGCTGTATAGGTTGATCTGGCACTTTGATGTGAACAAGTTCAGACTGAACGAAGTCAAAAGGGTGAAGATCAGTTTGGCTTGTGTTTTTGCATTTATGGCAATCGGATGGCCACTGATCATCTATAAGACAGGAATCATGGGATGGATTAAGTTTTGGCTAATGCCATGGTTGGGCTATCACTTTTGGGTAATGTTATTCCCTAGTGTCATATAGTTATATTTTATGAGTTTAAACATCGTTATCAGGCAAATATTGTTGGATAAGATTTGATACTCTGTACAACTCTATATAAGTCTGATGGACCTTAATTAGCTTCTAATGCTATTTAATCATGTGGAAAAATGATCATATTTCTTGTGGTCAAATATTGGCCAAAGCATTCTTGAAACCCACTGTCTGAAGTGCGTGTTTTCTATAATTTCGTTTACCATTTCTCATAAAAATAGTGATAATATGCTCTTCATGGGGTGTTTCAACTTTCAATCATGCAAGAGCAGTGAGCTTTTACTTCTTTGTTGTACTGAAACAAAAGTGAGAGGTCATTAGACATGATTGGCTTACACTTAATTACATGAAAAATGACACATGCATTCAAATCCAAGATTTATTTTTCCCAATTTTCCCTCTTTTTTCTTAATTTTTATGTGACCTTCAGTTTGCTGATCTATTAGTAATAGTTCTTTGTATAATGTCTGCCTCTAATAACTTCATATCTTTGCATCTTTTGTTAAGAGTTGATTCACCATAGATTGCCAACCTTTGGCTTCTTCTGAGTGTGAGTGATTTGATTATGGAGATAAAACTTATCTATTTTTGTTTCTGAGAAATTTTGGTTTCTTTAAATTTGACAGATGAGTACTTTCACAATGGTGCATCACACTGCTCCTCATATACCCTTCAAATCTTCAGATGAATGGAATGCAGCTCAGGCTCAGCTGAATGGAACAGTGCATTGCGATTACCCTCGTTGGTACATATATTACTTTTCTTGCTCTTCTATTGATCTTCTATTTGACTAGCCATCATGTCTTATGGAAGCTGACTAAACTAGGTGGTAGAGTTATCTTTATCAGATATCATATTTATTGGACAGCTTTTCCTTATTCTTTCACTCAACATCTTGTTTATTTCCTCTGGTTCTGTTTCCTTGAAGGCTCTGGAAAAATGCTGAGTTTTATATATTTGACAGGATTGAGATCCTCTGCCATGATATCAATGTTCACATTCCCCATCATATTTCTTCAAGGATACCAAGCTATAATCTGCGAGCAGCCCATAAGTCTATTCAAGAGAATTGGGGACCGGTATGACAAGCAGTATTTTGATTTTACATAGTTAATCAACCTTATCTTCTTCTGGATGTTAGATTATCTATAATTGAAATTTTGATGTATGATTACCAGAAAAGAAAAGGAAGAAATTCTTCAAAAAGGAGGTGAAGGGTGTACTGAATAATAAAAATGCAAGTTGGAAGGAAAAAAACAGAGAGAGAGAGTTTTAAAAAGAAAAACAAAATCATACAAAAAGTCAAGTGACACTTTTTAAAATGAGTTTTAGAACAACATAGCGTTCATATACTAACTTCCTCAGAAGATGCTAATGAATGTTCTCTTTCCATGTTTATGTTGGTGACAGTATCTGAACGAGGCTACGTGGAATTGGCGTTTGATGAAGACAATAATGACAATGTGCCATGTTTACAACAAGGAGCAAAATTACATTGCTTTTGATGAACTTGCCCCTGAAGAATCTTCTCCAATTACATTTCTCAAAAGAGTAATGCCTGATTATGCTTGATTCTTTTAACACCTAGGGGTCCATTGCTTTTTAGTTCTTCCATATATGTTAGCCTCCACATTTTGGGTCAAATTAGGTATGCTATTCCAGTTTCATAAGTGTTCATTCGAAAGGTGAATCATTCTTTTTTAACATTTACTATTTAATAGAAGAAAGTAACATAGAGGATGTTTCCTGGAAAATTTCCCATCTTCAATACAGTAATTTGTTATGGTGAAAGATGTCTGCTCATTAGATGAACCGGATCCTTAAAAACTGATTCCTATTAAACTATCTAAACCTCAGAGAATCTTTGCTGTAAAATGATTTTGTAAATTTTCTCATTTTTGGTTAGATTGACCCAATCTGTCAGTACTTTGCTTAAACAAATACTACAGCACTGAAAAACATAAACGATTAGGATCACATTGGTTGGCACCAGTAGCCGTTATGGCTGACAGTGATTTTCATCCAGAGTATTGTCATTTAAATATATGTTCCGGACATTTGAGCTTCAAGTGCTAACTAATTACAAACCTAATCCTAGATACCATATTTTATTCATTTATGTAAGAGAAAGAGAAGAGATATTATATTCCCCTCTTTGGGGCTATTTGAATTGGGATCTATTCCCCGTTTAGGAGATTAACATTCATCAACGGTGGAGATCCCAAATAAGCAGAGTCTGGAACTTGTAAACAACTGGTGGATGAACCATGTTCACGAATGACCAACACTAGTGAAGGCAGGAAGCAGAGTTTGTTGTGGTTGGCATTATCATTAGTAGATTTGATGTACCCGAAAAAGCCTCTCGAGATTGAATGTAGATTTAAAATTGTATCTAACCGAAACTCATCTGAAACTAAAGTAGTTAGCCACTAACCTGTAAGATAGTAGAGAGGTGCAACGGCTCATATGGAACAGGCATCTCTTTTTTTTTTTAACCAAACACAAACACAAACGTTGGACCTGTGAGATTCATAAAATGAAAAGTTGCAAGGAAACCTTGATGAATACTTGGCCAAAAGAGGAAAAGATATCGTGGTTTGATTCCGAAGAAGAAAAGGAAGTGAAAATCTTAGTTACCTTTTGCCAGTTAAAAAAGAGGAAAAATAACAACAATTTGATGAATTAGACTCTTTTGCTAAAGATTATTTCATCTGTATCTCTAGAAGTGAAAACTTTAACGTATGATTGTTGAGCAATCAATTTCATTCCTCTGTAATGATAAGCAAATACTTTGAAATCTCAGGACTCTGGCTTTCTATATTATCTGCTAGTGGTGGTTTAGCAATCAATTTCATTTCTTTGAAATAGCAAGCAAGCTCTGTACAAAACTGTGACTTTAAATATCACCCTGTAATCTTTGCCTAACCTATGATATTTGTTGGAATTGTAAGTTCATCTTCTATGTTCTACTACCTAAAAAAGGAAATGATTGCTATATTAAAAACGAGAAAAAAAATACTGCTATAGTAATCAACCCATGACCTGAATCACATAACCGGCGGTGGAGTTTCCCATATATCAAACACATTTTCCTCGCTATGAAGTGCAAACAGTCGATCACCCCCTATTGAAAAATCACAAATTGAACCCCCATAACTTCTTCGGAGCCTAGATGTTAACACCCAATCAGGACCACAAAACACAGAAATACAATCATTCATTGATGAAAACAACTGCCCATTATGCAATGCCAATTTCGGGTAGCAAGGCTCATCCGGCATCTTCCCCTTCATCAACCTACTTCTGGAACTCCATCTCACACTTCCCCCACTGATCCTCAAATCAATGAACCCCAAATCCTCATACTCATTCACTACACAAACAGAGTTACATTCCTCCATTGCAATTGCATCTCTCACCCTCTTCTCATCAACGGTAAAAGGAGCACCAATATCAGACCAAGACCAAACCATTCTCTTCTCTCTAAAATCAAGCAAACTGATATAACAGTTATCCTTTCTAGGAAACAAAGTAGCAACTAACAAACATTTACTGGCATTCAACCATTGTAGTTTATCAGCATCACCAAGAGACCAGCCAGGACTCTCATAAAAGAAATCCATTTGTTTACCAGTAACTTGGTCCCAAACTCCAATCCCATACTCATTGCTCCTCCCTTTACAACTTGCAAAAATCTTATAATCAGGACTAAAACTCAAAGCCCCAGCAGTGTAACTCTTAACTTGATTATCATGAACAACATTAAACTTATATTTCAAATCTCCAGTAGATGAACTGAACAGCCCCATCCCACCATCTCCTCTCCCTAGCTTTTCACAAGCACTTATCAAAACATGCTCAGCGTTGACCCAACCAATGTCGTTGACTCTCTGGTAATCAAGATTGATTGGCGGGTGTTCTTCTAACATCCAATCAAAAACATGAACCATGCTACCATGAGCTACACAGCAGCCGCCATCTGGACCAGCTCGGATGGCGGTTCCATCCCCTGGGGCTTGCCCTGTTACTGACTTAGATAGCTTTAACCTGTTACCATCAAATGAACCCCATTTAGCCGAACGAACATGGTCAATTAAGCCATAAAACATGGCTTCTTTGTAAAGAAGCCTTTCAGGGACATTGTAAGGAATGTAGAGATCGCCCGTTCGGAGGAGATCGAGGAGGACGGCGAAACAGTTGGGGTTTCGATCGATAAAGAATTCTTGGCGATTGTTTGGTTGTTGTTGTAAGTCCCAATTGTCGTCAAATAATGCACCGAAATACGAATCCCTTCCAGCGTTTGCGAGTGTTGTAGCTGTCGTTTGAAAGATTCTGCCTCCAACGTTGAATTTGACTATGTCATTTTGGATTCCCATGATTCAATTTTTTGTCAAAATTTGAAGAATCCTAGATAGAGAAACAGAGGAAAATTTTGGATTTTGATCTGAGAATTGAGCGTTTGGAAAAAGATAAGGCAGAGGATTCGCGGGGAAAAGAAAATGAGATGAATTTCCTCAAATTTGGAGGATTTAGAGATAATTTAAGATCAAAAGAGGAACCACAGATAGGTGAGACTAACAACGAAGCAATAGGAATTGAAAGATGAAGGAAAAGCTCAGTTTTTTAACAGTGATTATATAAGAGGAGGTGCTCCGGTTGAATAAGAACAGGGGAAGTGAATTAAATGAGGCAAATTTAATCAAATCGAGGAAAATTGTGATCTGGGTTTTGGAAAGACAAGGCTTTTAAAGCTGGGTTTGGAATTTCGTGGAATTTGGTCAAGTAGAATTGAAGAATTGGAGCGTCTGAATTTCAAATAAATTCACTTTTAAGTTTCTTTTTTTTTTTTGAGTTCCCTCTCTTGCATTGTTTTCTCCATATTTCTCTCTCTTCTTTTACGTCAGTCTTTAACCTATTGAGTTTTGACACTTTCTTTGCTTCGGGACAGTGGTTGAGCCCCATGCAGATCAAGTCGTCTCTAATGCCGTCCAGTTCTTTGCTTTTGCTTCCTCTTCATGTTTTCACCGTTGATGCTTCAAATTATCAAAATCAGAAGGAATTTCCATTGATCCAACGGTGGATATATCACCAGAAAAGTCTTCCATAGTTAATTCAGCTTGGGGTTTAGTTAAGGCCCTCTGTCAATGAAGTCCGCTTTATTCAAATCTTTAGCCTGAAGAGACCGTGTCTTGTGGGGTGTCTTGCTCTCTTTACACCAACCTTTTTTATCTTAATTTCTTTCTTTTTCTATTATTATCACCATTATTTAATTTTGAGCTTCATATTGTGATATGAAGAACAATCAAATTGACACGCAAATTGAGACTTCCAGCTTAATTCAACTCTTTAAATCATACTATTACTAAGGGCTCTTGTCGTTTGGCATTTGTATCATCAACTCAATAAAGATAAGCTTGGGGATAAGTTTTCAAATCATTTACGTAAAAAACTTCTGAAATAAAGAACAATTTTATGTAATGTAACTCGCCACTTTTTATTATAAGAAAATACTTACACTTGATCATACGTTCCAATTAAATTTCACTTTTACATTGTTTATTGTATCTCTTGTGTGATTGCATTGCTTGCAGGTCATGGCCGGCACACAGATAGGCTTGCTGGATGCAATTACTACAAATCAATTCCATAATTTGCTGCTTCTTTGTTCATATTCATGCTTTCAAGGCACTCTCTTGAAAGTTGAAAACATTGTCGTTTTATAATTGTTTAATGAACTGTTGGGCCAAGCCCCCTTATTTTCTAAGATTTAGAAGATTCATTCAATTGAATTTGTGTCCCATTTTGTGGTTGGGGGGGGGGGGTGATGGAGGTTTTTGGAGGGGACGGGGATTATCTGTCAGTTGAATCCTTATTCTTCAAGGCTTTCAATCATTTCAAGCAAATAGAGCTTTCAGTTCATTAATGGATATATTCATGGATGAATATTCAGTCTCTAAAAGATTTCACTCCATATTAAGCAACCTTCAATAGCCGATGATTATCTAGTTTTCTTCTGTGCTTTATTCCTATGCATAATTATGGGGAAATGACACAATAACAACTGTGACAAGAAATGCGTAGCAAGATTTCTATAATGATGATGCCGACATTTTTCAAGCTTCTGTCAAAAGACAATCAACTTTACTTTAGCTTGTTGATAAGGAGCTATCTTAAACTCAAAGAAACTTCGGTTAATTATTTTAATTGTCTGTTATTCTCCCTGTTCTCTGTCTTAACTTTCTGTTCTGTTTGATTCCTGTGTCTGGTCCTGCTTTTAGTTGCTAGAAACTACAATCAGCCAATCACTACAAATCATGACCATTTTTAAGAATTTCAATGAAATGTTTGAAATTTGTTTAACCAATCAAAACTCCTATTTAGAGAAGTTATCCTATCAAAAATTGATATGTTGGTTTCCTTGAACCAACTCTAGAAAAATAAAATGAGTCAGTTGACACATTCAATCAATTCGTTATGGGAAAAAAGCTTGGCAACCTAGTTCAATAGAAGCATGAAAACAAGAATTTAAGAGGGTTTTGTTAGAAATACAGAAGGTTTAAAAAGAAATCCTTGATTAATGTGAAGGAAATGTTTTTGGTTCTGGTCTGGTCCAGCATTGTTGCTTTTATCAAGCTATGTTCCTGAAATTCTGTTGTAGTGTCACAAAACCAAACCGCAACTCCTTAACATGTTTTTTTTTTTTTTTTTACTCACAATAATTATCATTCAGAATTGGGTTTCTCTTTTTTTTTGGAAGCAAGTGCGTTACATGCATGTTTCAGAATTCAGATTTTGTGCTGAGCAATAATGGACTGGGCCCAATTTGTCTGAGGAAAAGCACTTGTTCACATGCAAAAGTCAGTAGCCCATTCAGCGAAAAAGCAGTTCTCAATGCTGGCCTGTTGGGGTTCACCTGGAGAGAACATTAACAACATCAATCCAACAATCAAGCACCTTGAAGACTTCCGAATCGGAAAAATATGCTTTCAAAGAACTTTTTTTTTTTTCTCCCTTCTTAGCTCTTCATTATTTTTAGACACATAATTCATGGATCTGATCCGTAGGTAAAGAATGTTAACATAATCTCAATGAAGAAATTATAGGAATGACATATCAAACCAAGAAAAACGAATTATATATAACTATGCGTAATAAATTCGTTGATTAATAGTATGGGTTTAATTTTGTTTTCGTATTTAAAAAATAGAATTCGATCTCTGTTCTTTGAACATATAACAGAGAATTCATGATTTAACTACTGAACTAAATGCAATATGTTTATATTCATTATTTTTAATCTTGTTTTATATTTAAAAAAATTGAATTCAATCTTTGTTCTTTGAGCATGTAACAGAGAATACGTGATTTAACTACTGAACTAAATTCAATATGTTTATACTCATTATTTTATGTTAGAAAATCAAGCATTGCTTTATCACAAACTTGTTTATGATATCATTTTATTTGTATTTCCAGTTGTAATCTTCCCTTTATATGTTTTCCTTAGTTGAACTTAAGATAAAATCTTCAAAGAACAAAGAGAATTGACTTCAAAACATATTACAAATATTCATTCATGCCAATTATGATATACGAAAAATAATGTAACCGAAATATCTCAAAAGTACAAAGATATTTTATTTGATGTTATATTGTATTTGTGATATCAAATTACTAAACATTTATAGAAGATAATGAAAATATCAATTTTTGAATATTAATTTTTACAGAAATAATTTCAAAATAATTTTATTTTATTTGTGAAAAAATAGAACAAAAGAGAGAGAATTCATGAATTATTAATTCTTCAACATATGCAAATGAATACTTTCAACTTTATTTATAAAAATTAAATCTTAAATTTGTGATTATTTGATTATATTTTTCAATTAAATATCACTTTTTTTAATTAGAAAGATACTTTTTTGAATCATTAAGATTCGTTTAAATAATTAATCTTTTTATTCTCAAGAGAAATCAAATTTATGTTTTTTTTTTTTAATTTATAACTTTTCACTTAGGATAGGTGGTTGCTTCAATTTCTGGAAAATCACTAAAAAAAGGTAATTGATTTCAATATGGATCCAGAAAAGCTTCATATTTGGTTTTTTATAAAGCAATCGACTCCTTTTCAATGACGGTTAATTTCTAGAGCGTAAATCAAATTTGCAAAAGACAATTAATCAATGGAATCAAGCTTGATTCCATTATGTTATGTTTGGATTGAAGGAAAATGGAAAGAAAAATAAAAGAAAGTAATGAAAACAAAAATCTTTTATTTGTTTTGATAAATTTTTAATTAAAAAAAAAAGGAAAAAACTCAATTACAGATAATATGAAAATTACTTTATTTGCCGGTGATCCTTGACCAAATATACACCCAAATTATATGCTTCATCTCTATTGCCAACAATCCGTTATTTCGTTTAGCCCAAATTCTACAACCGAACATGATTACGCCCACAAGTATACTTGGGTCAGAATATAAATTTTAAATTTATTTTATCTGGGCCTGGCCCATGGACAAAATCTTCCTGATTTGGATCCTTTTCAGCCCGAGAAACATGTTTACTTTTGTACAGTTTGGTCAAATTAAATTCTGTGCTGAAGTAATGAAACGTGCGAAACACGTGGGATTATGTCAGTCGGCCCACGAGTGGCACTCGTAACGGTTGCCGCGGTGCACCGCTTTGACCGACTCCTCCACTTCTACTAAAGTGCACAATATCGGATTTACATTTTTTATTTGAAATAAAAAAAAGTTCAATCCCCGAATGATTGGTCACGGAATTAAACGTTCGAAACGGGGGAATTACCTATATCTCATTTTTATTCGTTTTTCTATTAATTTTATTATAAAAATATTACGATATGAAAATAAAAAATTAGAAATATTTTTATTTGTATTTGAAAATTTTGAATGTCATATATATTAATCAACTATCCTGAATTCAAAGGAGAAAAAATTTATAACGCGTTTGAAATCAGAGGACCAAAAATTATGTGGCTAAGCAAGCAAGAAGCCAATGGTTCAATTTAACCAAACAGAAATAGCATCAAGAAAAGGGAAAAATCTTTGTTTGCGTCTTGAATAAATTAATTCATAATATAATAATACAATATAAAAATAATAGAAAATAATAATATGATTAAATTTTTTAATAAAATTATATAAATTTTTAAAAAATTTATATTTTTATCTCATTATAAATTATAACACATATTTTTTATATAAACATAATACAAATATAAAATTATCAATATTTTCCACGACCAGGTTTACTTGAAATGAAGGATTAAAAGCATCTTCTTCAATTCACACCTTCTCATTCCAGCCGCCCATTACAAAAAAATAGGCCATCTTTCTCCGACGACAACAAACAAAAAGCCACGTGTACCGTTTTTGTAAGGTTCCGACCAGCCAATTCGTAACCCCACAACAAGTCATATGAACTATTTCTTTCCCCTGCCGTGGCGCTTTCCCATTGGTCATTTGCAACACCATGCCGATTAAAATAAAACGCGTGCGCTAAGAAATAATCAGATGCATCGCACTCCGCGCTGGTCAAATCAAGATCCAATAAAAAAATTAATTTCATTTTTTGGCTCTTTGCTGTAGGGTTTAATAGTGAACTCTCGCTTCACTGCCTCTTTCGCAGAAGCCGGAAAAAATCTCGCCGCATAAATTTTGTTTCTTTTTCTTCCACTGAAAAACCTATCTACAGATTAAAACGGGCACGGAATTTATAAACCGAACCGATTTTTTATAAACATGGAAGAAACGGCGATTAGTTGCTCGGAATTGAGAACCGAAGCAGCAACGGAGTGTTCGGATCTTGGAAACGGGTCATCGGCTTCAGGTTCTCCAATTGTTGACCTTGCTAAGAGAAAGATCGTGTTCCATCCAGCAAGGAAGCCCTTTAATGGGTTCAAAAATTGTGGGAGTGGGGATTTTAGAATTGAGACGCTAAATCCTTGGCTGGATCCGAAGCGGGTAAACGGGGTGGGGTCGGGTCAAGTGGGTGCTACAGGAAGGAAGGTTGATGGGTCTGATATGTGGGAGCACGGGTTGGATACAGTTCTCAGTTTGAGGATTACCTTTCGCAAAATTGTAAGCTTTTCTTTTTTACGTTTCTAGTTTTTTTATAGGTTTTTTTCCCCATTTGTAACCATTATCTCAGATTTTGTGTTTTTTTTTTTTTTTGTTTTAGCTTAGTGTCGTTTAGTATTTGCTTAATTTTATGATTTTATGTGAAATTATATCCTTTGTCTTGTTGGCGTGTTTTCAGTTTCTTAATTTGTCTTGGATGTTTCAATGAATGGTTGATTAAACTGCGTTACTTCATCGAACCTGCTTTTTTACATTTTTCGTTTACATGGAGTCTTTTGTCAAATGCAGTTTTTGGAGATATCTGTGGCTCTTCTCGATCATTTGAGCTTTGTTGGTTTTGTCTGACAATAATATAAAGTGTGTTCAATCGAAGTATTTTGCTTGTTTCCAACGAACTTGGTCTTAAATGTCGGATTTGTTTTATTTGTTATTATTGGCAAATGCTAAGATGCTTGGATTTTATAATTAACTCAGCCACTATCATGGCATGAATAATTTACAGGGTGCTGGTTTGGAGAATCTTGGAAACACTTGTTTTCTTAATTCAGTATTGCAATGTCTGACATACACAGAGCCTTTAGTAGCTTACCTACAAAGTGGCAAGCATCAAAATTCTTGTGAGTGAAACTATCCTCTTTTCTCTCTGTTCTTGTGCAGTACAACATTTTATAGATGTGTTTATTCACTTTTGTGCATCAATGTCGATGCATAATGTTACCTGTAACATTTTGGCTACAAGTGCAAGTCTAGCTTCGCATTTTATGTTCTTATATTTCATCTCTGATGGCCATATTTCAATTGGTTTGTGAAGGCCGTATTGCTGGATTTTGTGCCTTATGTGCCATCCATAAACATGTTAGCCGCGCTCTACAATCAACTGGGAGAATATTGGCACCGAATGATCTGGTCTCAAACCTACGATGTATCCTTTTGTGTATCGTGTCATTGAATAATTTGATATTCAGCTGAGGCACATTATATATTTCCTTATTAATCCTTAGCCAACAGAGATTAGTCAAGGCAATCCTGTTAGCTATGTATTCCTGAAATTCATTTGAGGGAATTATTTGTTGTATTACTGCCACAAATTTAACCTGAATTAATATTAATATTGATGGCTAATTATTGATGTTCTCCTGATCAAGGCATTATGCTCTTTAGTTTCCAGAACTTGTGGTTCTTGACCTCATGCTTAGGTATATCTCAGAATTTCCGAAATTCTCGACAAGAGGATGCACATGAGTACATGGTAAACCTGCTGGAATCCATGCACAAGTGCTGCTTACCTTCAGGAGTACCAAGTGAATCTCCTAGTGCTTATGAGAAGAGTTTGGTGCACAAGATCTTTGGTGGTCGCCTTCGTAGTCAGGTATAGTTTTTTCTTGCTGGATTATGCTATGACCAAATTCTAAACAGTTTTTGCCGGATTTTGACAGTTTCTGATTGTGTTGTAATTAAGCAATGAAAATTCATGTAGTTAATATATATGTTCAAGTTGCTGTTAAACTTCTTATAAAATTATGCTCCTGTACATTATTCAATGGTTTCTTGTTACCTCTTCAGGTGAAATGCGGGCAGTGTTCTTATTGCTCCAATACTTTTGATCCCTTCCTTGATTTAAGTCTTGAAATAGTTAAGGTAGGTTCCTTGCATAAAGCACTTAAAAACTTCACTGCTGCGGAGCTTTTGGATGGAGGGGAGAGGCAATATCAATGCCAACGCTGCAAGCAGAAAGTTAAGGCAATCAAACAACTCACAGTTTACAATGCACCTCATGTACTTGCAATCCATCTAAAGAGATTTCAAGCACACGATATTGGGCAAAAGATTGACAGTAAAGTTGAATTTGGTCCGACCTTAGACATGAAGCCTTTTGTCAGTGGTTCTAATGTGAGTAAACTTCTGTTGCATGCTGTAACTTTTCTGAAGTGAGTGAGTTTGTAGGTTATTAAGCCATTCTTTGGGAAAGACAAAAAGTAGTGTCAAAAGAATAATGCAATGTCATATAAGTGTCTTTTCTCATATGACTTTTAAGGGGCAATGATCTTAGGAGAAAGTTGACTGTTTATTTATTGATTGTTCTGTTATTATTATTATTATTTTTTCATCCTGAGTACATACAGCATTCTGCTATGAGGAAACTATGCTTGTAACCATCTTGCCAATAACTTTTTTTTTGGTACGAAGGAAGCTGCAGCATGAGGATGAGGGGAGTTGTAGGTGTTAGGATTTGAACTCCAAACCTGTTGGTTGCTACCCCTTAAGGGTAGCTACATGAACTAACTGAGCTAAGCTCTGGGTTCATCTTGCTAATAACTTTGACATCATGCTTTATATAAATTAATTGAAAAATTAGGTTTGTTGGACTTGGCAGGAAGGAGATTTGAAGTACACTCTTTATGGCGTTCTGGTTCATTGTGGATGGAGCACTCATTCTGGCCACTACTACTGTTTTGTTCGCACATCAAGTGGCATGTGGTACTCCCTTGATGACAAAAGGGTACTTGAAAGAATTTTGTACTTTAGATTTTTCCTGGCTATTAGAATGCTAGTAGGGTTAATCAGTGAGAAGAAATTATTCCCTACTTATTAGGAAGGACCTCCTCTTTCTTGAATTTCCACTAAAAATGTGGAAATGATCAATGTGCCAAACCTATTTTAAAGCTGTTGTCTTTGCAAGATTTAGAAGCACATTGTTATTTTTGAAACAAGTGGCTTACCATGCTATGTTTGCAAGCCATAAGAGATGTTCATTATTGGAACTTGAGGACTACTTTAATTTATGCAAACATGAATCGTATGATATATTCATTACATGTGAGTACGATATATTCATTCCATCATATGTAATGGAATGAAGAGAGATTGAGAGTGGGGATGAGGAACACCTTTTGTTTCCTATTCTATTATTTAGAAGACTCCTTACTTGATGCATTATTATAGATCTTGCGAATGAACCTTCTTTTGTGTTTCCAAACATAATGCAACAGGTTGTCCAGGTCAGTGAGAGGACTGTTTTGGAGCAGAAGGCTTACATGTTGTTTTATGTTCGTGACAGAAGAAATACTGCTCAAAGAAAACCTGCTGATATTCTTCAGAGAGATGACTTAAAAGCAAATGTGAATGGAAAGTCTATTTTTAGTCAAAATCCCAAGGCACATGTGCAAACTGGTCCTGTTCAGAATAAATTATGTGCTTTAGGCACTTCTGCTGTTATGCGTCAAAAGGATACTGCTAATGGTGGCTTATCAAAGGAGACAATGCCATATCAGCAAAACACTGTGCAGCAAATGGCAGAAAGCTCAGTGCTTAAAACGGAGTCCGTTCAACCCTCTTCCAATGTGCCATTATTCAAGGACTCATCACAAGCATCTGCTTCAAACTTAGTTCATGGTGACAACTTGCAACCATCAACGGGTTCTGTGGTTGTTAATGTTGAGAGTTCTAATATTGAAAATTCAACTGTTACTACTGGTGCCAAAGATGGTGACTGCAATGAGAGTGGAAATTGTAAAAGGGAATTTGGAGTCCCTTTGATGATATCACCCAATTGTGGTGGTCTCCATAACTCAGGCACTGATAAGATTGTGACTAGAGAGGCCTTGCAGAAGGTATATGCATGTTTCTTTCCCTACACAGGCTTCTGTCTCCCTACATGGGTGGTGTTTGCTTCTGTTTCTAATTAGTAAATCTGTTTATGCCTCCAGATTAATCATGCTTCAAACTTTGAGGTTTCAAGGTTTGTTGCATTAGATAAAGCAGTGAAGAAAGTTCCTGATGAAGCTTTATCTATGAGTACTACTGATGAAACATTGAAGAATGTTCATGCGATTAGGTCTCCAAATAAGCCAAACTGTGAGAGTAATAAGGTGATTGTTTATATCATATTCCATCTCTAACACTAGTATTAATATTAGTACTTGTACATTGAATTATGATTTGTTTCCCATTTCATTTCCAGATCGGAGATGTTTCCAACCATAGTACCAGTGATAAGTCACTGAATGAGAAGGGAGATGATAGTAGCCAAAAAATTATTTCCAAATTGCCTTTGAGCATGCCAAATGGATCCTTGGAGATTGAAGCTCCTGAATGTGCACTGTGTAGAAAATCAAAGAAGAAGCGTCTGAAGCGACAGCTTAAAAGCATGCATATTGGCTTAAAATCAAAATTTTTTGTGGCATCTCTACGCATGCCCAGCAAGAAGAAATATAAAAGGAGCAGGAAACGCACATTAGATGCTCACATTCTTTGTAAAGAAATTTTGTTGGATAAGGATTGTTTATCATCAGATCTGGGGCCATCTACATCTGAGAATTCCAGCAAAATCACTTTAGCTTCGGTTCATGTGAGGAAAAAGGCATCCAGTGATAGTACTCTGAAAAATGTTAACAGTAGTCCAAGTTCCTTGATGAATACCGTAGATGGAGTATTTGGAGAGAGGATTTATGAGAATGGTGTTGTTCTTGCAACTGATCAACAGGTAGATAGGAGTTCTGGCTCAGTATCAGAGGCAAACCGGCATAACTCTAGAGAAACTGATTCTTTGAAACATAGCAAAATAGGTGCATCTCCACATATGCAGGTGCTTACCCAGGGTCTAGGGGAGACAACCGGTGCGTACTTATCTAAAATATCCATTCCAGCTCCTCTTTTGCATCATCTGCATTTAAATTTTTTATGCCCTTTGCTTTCTTTTGCGTTTCTTTTGTTTTTTATTTTGGGGGGGCGCGGGGGGGGGGGGGTTTGGGAGAACATATCACCTACCATCATTGCACTAGAATTAATCAATCACAATTCAGAATTGAATGGGGTCTCCATTAAAATTTATATGGAGTCCACACTTATAAATGATGGACTTTTACTTGATTATTTAATGTGATTGGATTAATTGTAGGATTGTAGTTTTGCTGAATTTTTCTTTGACTTGCTATGTTATTCTTTTGCCTCTTATGCTTGCTGCAGTTGCAAGATGGGATGATATGGACTTTGAGTCGCCTGCGCAGACTGTAGAAGCAAATGGTTCGGAAAGTCTCAAAATTGGATACGTTCTGGATGAATGGTGAGTGAACATAGATGCATTCCTTATAATACTTTGGTTGCCACAGCATTTTTTAGCTGCTGGTTTTGTTAGTATTTGGAAAAGAATGTGCTTTTGATTTCCTCATAAAATGTGGGTGAATGAATAGCTTTTGACTGGTTTAAAGATTTTAATTTCATAATTATTGATTTACAGGGATGAAGAATATGACCGTGGTAAGAGGAAGAAGATAAGGCAAAATAAGCACAACTTCGGTGGTCCAAATCCTTTCCAACAAATTGCCACCAAGAAAACACAGTTAAAGAAGTCGAAATTGGACCATTCTAACTCTGGAAATCGACCGTTCAGGATATGAAGTAGTAACCCATATCAATTTGGAGCAATTTTTGACCTCTCTTTCTGCTATTATATTTTATGTAGTAGTTGTCAGTCTTTTTTAACGTGGTCTAAATTGTATTTTGTAATCAGGAGAGTGTTTGAGGTAGAGAAAAAAGAATACTGAAAAAATTCAGATTTTTTTTTTTTTTTTTTTTTTTGTGTTTCGACCTTTTTAAAATTTCTCCGTCAGGGAAAGAGAGACATGATTGAATATCAATGTGTTAACTTAGTTTTTGACTCACACCATAGCCCAAACGGATCTCTTTGTTAGCAATAATTACAACTGTAATCGAGTCGAGTTAATATAATAAGAAGTTCGAGTTTGACTCTCAACTCGAGGTTTGATATTCGATTCGAATTCGATTGAGTTTTATTTTTTTAATTCGAGTTCGATTTGTGATTGAAATCGAGTTACTTGAATTAATTCGATTGAATACGATTAATATGTTAAAATAAATTTAATTTTTATATTCGATAAGAGTTCGATTATTTGTGTTTAAGTTTAAATTCGAATTTGAGATATTTTATTAATTAAAATAATAAAAAAATTAAATATAAAAATTCGATTAATTTTACGAGTTATTTGAATCAAATATAAAAATATTTGAATTTGATTCGATCGTTAAATTAAGTTACTTGAATTCGAGTTTTATTCGATAATAATAAAATGAAATTTGAATTTTATTTAAATCGAATCTTAATAACTTACAAATATTAACGTATCATTTATACTTTTAGTGATAATCAAGTTATGGTTGTGTCACTTATTATTCAATTCGGCATTGGGACATGTTCTTTTTCATTGTAACTAGTGTTAATCCCCGCGCTTTGCTTTTAACACTTGCATATAAACTAATTATATTTTATAAGCACTGATAAAATAGTAAAGCCGAGGCTTTAATATATGAAACCTAACACAAAAATATAATAAACAAAATAGATTAAGTTTTCTAAATAACCCAAAGATCCTCTCCACTTGTTTATTACAAGTAATGGGAGCATAAAGCAATTATATAAATTTCATGTAAAAAATAAAATAAATGTTATAAAATTGCCAATAGGAAGACAATCTTAGTTCATGAGTCTAAAAAGTGTTACTTAATTGACAATTATTTACTTTTCAATTCAATTCATTTAAAAAATATAAAAATTTGATCAATGCGTGAATATTCTATTTAGATGTCCTTGTTAGTATTTTTCATCAATATCCAATAATATAAGGTTTCTGAAATATTAAACGTGAAAATACTTAAATTTAAGATATATTTGTAGCATTTTAGATTTTTATAATTTTTTATATTTCAGTTCATATTAATTTTTAGAAGTTTCCGATTAATTTTTTAACTTTTTAGCATTTAAATCTATAGATTATTAATACTGTTGAAAAATAATATTAAAATAATTAAATTTAAATTTTCTTAATCTCCACCTCAAATTAAATGTAATATTCAAATTGAAACGAAAAAAAAGTATCAAATTATATAATATTGTAAATAATTTCGAATTTTATTTTAATAATTTCATATAATAAATACAATTATATAATATAACATAAACAATTTTTAAATTTATTTTATGACAAATACAACATAATATAAATCATTTCATACATTAATTATTGTTTTCATTTATAACTAAATCGTATAGTTTTTATGAAATAGCTTTGTTTTTTACAAAAAAAAAAGTTATTAAATAAGAATACTTTGATAAATTAATTTTAAAATAATTGGTTCATTATTACAATCCAACTCAAAATTAGCTTAGTCCAAAAATGTTATTTACGTCTTTTATTTTTAAATAATTTGACAACAATTGATTTCATTATCATAAAATTACCCCAAATTTAGTTTGATTCAAATAATTTTAAATTTTTGTGTTTTATATTTATAATCATTTTTAATAATGAAAAAAAATCAAAATGCAAACGCTATTACAAAAAATTTAATGTAATTAAAAATACAAATATTTCATAATATAATAATTATAAAAAAATTTTCGTAAATTATATGATCATAAATGAGAAACAATAGAAATTATATAATAATTGATTACAAATATTTCATAAATATGGTTATTGTTTTTTCAATTGATTACTAATTTATTTTAATTTTTTAAATATTTTTAAACTGAGGAGACCGATTATATTATATAAACAATTTGATAATTATCTTCTTCATAAATTATTTTTCATCGACCCTTGCTGGTAATAAAGCAAGAGCCGCCAGTTATAGCCTGCATGTCATGTCTTACAAAAAAAATGTTAAGACTGAAATTCTCTGTAATACGTGTAAAATGTGCATTTATAAATTTTATTATGTTTTGAATGAATTAATTATTATAAGTTTTATTGTATTTCAAATCATAAAAATAATTAGTATTTATAAGGCAATCAAACATTATAAGTTTTGAATTAATTGTTATAAGGCAATCAAACATTATTATAATTCATCCTTAAATATAATTAGTATTTACCGACACTGCATAACTTGTGTCGAATTCATCTCTTCGCAGTTATCCGGTGGTCCCTACTTGGTTCAGAACCGGAGGGTGAAACTCGTTTATTGTTTACAAGCCTGGGGCTGGTACGATGAGGGAGAGAGCGAAGCGTTTAGGGTTTTGGAGAGGTTTTAGAGAGAAATCCGACTCAGAAGGGAAATTCCAGCAGAGTATCGATGTTGGCGGTGGTGATTCGAAGTTTGGATCTATGGTGGTCGAGGCGGTGGCTTCCGTGGTGAAAACTGTAGCCATGGGACAGAGTAAAGACTGTGGGAAATATGAAAGAACTCTTGCTTTGTTAGAGCAAGTCAGGCCCTGATGCAGGTATTAAATTTCTTGATTTTCATAGATCTGTTAATATATATGTATATATATACATATATATTGTGGTTATCATGCATAGGTGTTAGAATTGCTTCTTGTTGTTCTTGACTGGTACAGGAATAATAGTAAATGGAAAATTTTGGATGGTGTTAGTCTCTGGAGCGCCACCCCATAGGTCTGTCATTGGGCAACAATGCATTCGAGATATGGGGGTTTTGAAGGCCTTGTGGAATTATTTGAGTCATTGCTTTATAAATTTATGGGTCATTTGGTTGCTATCTCCCGTTGAGTCTCATCTGAACTGTCTGCTGCAGGCATCTGCAACAAAGAAGTTTCAGGCTTCAAGACCTGTGATTAGCTTTTGTACAGCAGTTATTGTTGTGAGGTTTTGGGTTGTGTTGCAACTATTGACAGTTACATTGTGAAGAGAATTCATCCTTTCGTAGCTTCTGGTCTTCAAATTGGTACAAATGGAGGTTCTGATCACAAGGTGAGTTTAAGGCATAAGTGTGGTTATTTGAAAATTAGTTTTTACTATTGTAATGTCTTGTTATATGGATTCTTTCCACCGCATATAGGTTGCTGATTGTAATGTGCAGTTTGTACGAATTTATATGTATCTTTTTATGAAGGCTGGTGCCTTGAAGATTGCCGGATTACGAGCAAATTAAGTAGCATTGTCTCCCAAACTTGTACATAGCTTGATTCGAACAGTTGCTTAGGTTGATAGGGAAGATGTCAAAGAGTTAACTGATTTGCTATGGTTTCGGTTTTCACTTATATGGCATTTATAAATCTTGTTCAGTTCCTAGCATCCTGCTCATGTAGATTATAGTCATTATTCAATTTTATCCTAAAATTCTATCATTTATAAATTTTTTTATCATTCTCTATTGATGTTGTTTTGGCATTTTTCATTTGAGGTTTTCATGCATATCACTTGCAAATTTGCTTTCCATAATTTTATACTTTGATTACATGTTTGACCTGAGAGGCTTGGCTTCACTCTTATCATTTTATATGTTTCAACTTTTGGTGCATATAATCAACAGGGCTATTGGTGTTACTGTTCTTAAAAGTATATTAGTTCGATCCAAATTCTCATTTGGTGGGTGTTATAGCCATATTGTCTGTGCTAAATTACTAATTGGAGAGTTTGCTTAGTACTTTTATTACTATTTTTTTACTAAGAGGTTTTCTTTTGATATATCACCTTATATGATTAAAGGGTTGCTTTTGACTAGGTGCATGATGTGCCTTTCTTACCAAGTGAAATGTAGTCGTCCTTGAAGTAAATGTTAGGTTCCTTGTTATAAGCTTTGTCTTGTTTCTATTTTTCTTACTGTAGTTTGTGCGAATTTTGTAGTCACACTCTGTTGATACGTTTCCTAAAAGGGCATTGGAAAATTTAAGGAATATCAGGTAACTCCATAGTTCTCTAATATTGTTTGGAACTATTTAATACATTACTAAGTGTATTGTCAGCCGTTGTATTTTCAATCTTATCTTTTTGCATGCTTTTAAAGGGATATTGCTGGGATTCTTTTGGAACTATCTAAAGATTTTAATTTTAATAGATTCCTTGCCATACTGTTAGAAGCTCTGGTTGATCAAAGGTGTGAAGCTGATTAGTTTTTTCTACTTGTCCTACTTTTTTTCGTACTTACTGCTTTTAAATTGGTTGTTGTATATTACAGTTCTTCTGATTACTCATATCATCTTGCTTTAATATCAGTAATAGATAAAATTGCTCTGAGGAATTTAGTGGATCATATTGTCTCAAAGATTCTACCATCCTGCATGAAATTTTCTGAGAGGGATAGCAATTCAGCATCCTCTGAATTGGGTATGGCTTGTAATTTATTGGCTTTTTCATTTCAATTTCAAGTTTTGCTTCTCGGGTGCATATAGTACTATTTAATTACTTTGATATTTTTATTTTTAATACTTTGAACATCGTTAGTTTACTGTATATTGCTGGCACAACATTTTTTAAAAAATATTTTTGCATATCTTTTGAACTAGATAACCGTATAGCTATTTTTGATATGATCATCAATGTTAATTATGTTATATTTCTGAGTTATCTCTTGGACTATTTGGCAGGAACCTGGGCCAAGGAGGTCTTAGCTGCTATAACTAAGAATTATCCATCTCAATTTCAAGGAGCTGTTCGGATGTTCCTAGATCTCTGTTTAACTATTATTTTATATCTATCTTTGCTTTCTCTGTATCTTTTTCAAGCTTCTTGTCTTATGTTTTTGATCCTTCTCTCTTCTACTAGGATACAAAAGTCCAATCCAAGAAAGAGGACAAAGTGTGTGAGTCCTTGAGTAAAATATTGGATTGGAATTTGGATTTACTGATAGCCGTCACAGAGTCCAAAATATGGCTTGCGGCACACCATCCAAAGGTATTATGTACTACCAAATTATTACAAAATCATTGTTTTTGTCACTTCTTTTTCAATTTATGTTCAAGACTTCTTATGATTTGGTCCACCTTCGTTTTATTTGCAGTAATTGGAAGAATATTGTTAAAATATCTAACACCATTTCTTTCAGTGTTCACAAATAGCTTAAAAGTAACCTGGATTGGTTGATAATATTTCTGTTTAGCATTTTAAAAGGTTCTAGAATCTAATACATATTTTGCTATACTTTTTTCTTCCTAAGTTGCTTGGAGAGGACCCTGTTCCAGTGTCTTGGAAAGTAAGGACTCGTAGACCTGTTTTATTTTATCTTGGTTCTACTAATTTGTGTTAATTTTCATTTTACTCCTAATGATCTCAATCATTGCAGTGTGATCTTAACTAAAAACATGAGAGCATTGTACTTCCTTGTCAGATGTTGCTATAAGTTTTGTGAGACCATGCTCCTTGTTGGTGAAACCAAAGGGGTGGGAAGACTACAGTGTGCCAGTTACCGAGTATTGCTTTGGGGTTAAATTTACACATTTTGAATTGTCACCAGTGCTCTGAAATGTCTGATTTTCTTGGGGTTTGTTTGCTTTTTTCTCACTAGCTGTTGTCACTCATCCGAAAGATAGGTTCCCTTAGAAATTCTAATGAAATGTTTAACAGGTTGTCTATCCAATTCGAGATGGATTGATGTTGTCCTCAGAATACAAATGTGTGATTGAACGATTGAAGCTATTGAAGGCCCTCATTCATTTCCCTCAAGACTTGGTTAGTATGTTTTGGGTTAAAATAGTCTATTGGTATCTTAGCTTATTTCCTCTACACTCTCTGAGATGCGCTGGTGTCTCAAATATGTTTGGTTGCTGGATATTTGTTCCGATATTAGCCATGTTTCTTCAACTCTTGACCAGCTGAATGTAGTTACCAGTAATTACAGGCAAGGCCTTTCAATTCCTGATGTCACTTTGCTGGATATGGTTAATTTAGCAGAGGTGAAGAAGGAACTTGATCTGCTTTACCGTAAGTGGCAGACAATTTTATGTGGCAAAATGGGCCTCTTGTGCTATCTACGAAGGCTGGTTATTTATTTCTTGTTGATGAAATTTCCTTGGCCGATGATAGCATACTGGAAAGGATGAACGGTGCTTGGAGCCAGAAAAGAAGGCGGTAAGTAATTTTTTTTTTTTTTTTTTGAGGATTTTGCTCTTTGCAGTGAACTTCAAGTTGGCTAGTTAAAAAACATTAGCCATCCGTCTATCCTTCTGGAACCTGACTTGAAATATTCACTGACTTATTCAATAAAGCCTCCACAATCTTTTGTACCACATCAAATGCATTGACATCAGCAGAATCAGGTCAGTATAATTCTGTTATGCATTTGTTTGTTTCTTATCAGGGGCTTAATGTTGTCTATCCTTTCTGCTACAGTGCATGCAAAAGTTTCTAGTTTTGTTCTTGAGATGTGGTTTTGGTGGCATTCTTTATCATGAAGCCAGTGCCTGCGTCTTTCAAGGTATGTGCATCAAAAAGCTCTGCGCTTTTATTTTGAATAATATGTTGCATGATTTGCTACTTCCTGTTTCAAAATTTCACAATAATTGACTATCATGATGTTCCACTACCAATTATACTTAATTCAGCCTGTGAGAAAAGCTAGTGTTGCCAATATATTGTAAGATAATTATTTTCACTTTTAACATGTTTAAAATATTTGTAACATATACAAATAGTGCCAGGCAGATTTTATTCTGTTATAGATTTCATTCTACATTCAGCATTGTGGTGTAAAGTGTAAAAAGTGGATGGAAACTTCTCTTTACCCTTTTCTCTTATTCTTTCTATATTTGCAATTTCTGTTGCTTATGATTTGAGGCTAGATTACGTGATTAGATGTTTTTGACTGATATTGTGGTAATATGCATCGCAAAGCTGTCCTTTTTAAACTAATCTGTCTAGTAGCATTCTGATTATCAGTAAAATACTGTCATGCATTCTGTTTTGCAAAGTACACTTGATATCAAGAACTTTTCCGTGCATTGTTTGAAGCTTTTAAGGTTGCTTCATGTGTTCTCTGGCAAATTTCTTCCCCAAGGACAAATACGCGTAATTCACTTTTTTCTGGTGCCCGCACTCTTTCCCAACGGGTAGCTTATCAATGTGAATTTTACATTTTTTATCTTAACAAGAATGCTCAAATCTTAATGTCTTAATGTTCCTGATTATATATTCATGTAAAAAATCATTTGATGCTCAAATCTTCTTTGAACTGTGTAACTGTATGATTTTTCTCCATGCAACATGTGTTATACCTTTGGTTAAATGCTGCTGTTTCTGTTTTCTGTTTTCCCGCTATTTAAGGATCCTTTCTATTCAATGAAATCTATGCACTTGCAAATATGATATAGGAGATTGGTATGTTCTGTTGACAGAGATTTTCACTTTTCTACTAAGGCACTTCCTATTCCTTAAATATATCATATTTTTCTTTTCTGAGTACTGCATCTTCTTTTACTAACAGGAAGAAAGTATAGGGCTTGTGAGCTTGGTCAGTAATATTGAAGGCCTTTTATAGGTGCAGCTAGAATAGAATTATTTGGCAGGATGGTCTCATTCAAAAGATACTGATAAAAGAATTTCACAAGCATTAGAAAAGCTTGAAATTGAACTTAGAAAACTGCTAAGGAAGGTCCGAAAGCTTGTGTTTATTGCCATTTATTCGTTTGTCAAGTTTTATTTTTCATTCAGATTGTCTTCCCTCTGATCTTGCAAAATACAATGTACGAAGAAAAGAATGTGATCAGCTTCTTGTTCTTGTTAATTCTTCAATGAGTTTGGTCAGCAATATTGAAGGCATGGAGTTACAACAGGTTGACGAAGCGTGCAACCGGCAAGTAGATTTTCTTAGATATACTTTTGACATTATTCCCATTGGACGCAGTGAGGTTACTTGGCTATATACTCATCACTTTCTTATCTAATTTATTTTCTCGGGAGACAGCTAGCTGTTTCTTTGTCAAATGAATATATATTTCTGAGTAGATTGATGTTGCCCAGCCAATTCAAATGGCTGCATGTGAAATGAAGTTCTAGTTCTGTTGAGTGCCTTGCAGAAAAATTTTCTTGGACAGAATCCAGGAGGACAATATGGATGAGATATGCTGATGTATCTGTTTATTTATTATCCTCGTTCATATTTTTATTCGATAAAAATTTTAAAATCATATATATTTTTATTTTCATTCAAAAATTTAATAATCATTTTCATTTCAATTTTCATTTTAATATTCTCATTAAGATAAAAAATCAAATTCCCTATTAAATTTAGATAAAATTAACGTTCATACAATATATACATTCAAACTAAATGTGACAATTGATGGGTTAGTTCAATTTAAAAGAAATTTAAATCATTTCAAAAAAATTTAAGTTGTTTCAAATTTAGATCAGCTTAAATTTAAGTTATTTCATATAATAAATTCAAATCAAATGTCAATTAGATCTGGGAAATTCAAGATTTTCTATTCATCATCTATTATCGAACTAAATAAGAGTTAAAGAAATCTATCATTAAACTAAATACACAGTATAAAAGTTTAAAAAAAAAAATTACTGAATATAGATTTCCAATTACATGTATTTCTCCCTCCTTTATTTACGCACCCATATAATGGCTCTCATAATCTCTTTTTTTTTAATAGGAAAATGCCCCCCGCAATCCTAAAAATAGGTAAAAGCTAGCGTTTTTCTTGAGTGGTAGTGATGATTATTTATTAGCAGTTATTATTATCGCACGTTGTCGTTCTTTTTGCCATAATTGTTGGTTACCACTGCCCAAGCATAAGTTTGCTCCATTCATACTTCAAAATTTTGGTGGCAATAATCATACCTCCTTAACTCAATACACCACTATTTCCATGATTGCATCTCCCTTCAACATTTTGGCCATTATGTCCAAATTTCATATTTTTTTATAAAGAAAAAAAAAAAAAAAAAACAGTTCACTTTCATCCTTACAAGAAAAGAAACCATTAACATAAGGGGAAAGAAAGCCCAATTTGAATATAAAACAAAAGCAAATCATGGGAAGCTCCAAACCAATTCATACAAGAAATTTCATATCAAATATTTTCAAACATTAATAATCTAAATTCATATATAAAATATTTTTTATATTTAAAATTTTTATTATTAAAATTAAAAATTTAATATTCCACTCGCATATCATATAATTATTGGCCATATATCTAATATTTCGAATTAACAAAAAAAATTTTTTTTTATTATTTCTCTCACTCACATTAATTTATTAGTTTTGATATTGAAAGTACAATCTACCTACAGATGCTTTTTATCTCCGTAAATTTCTTTTTATTTTGTAAATGAATTGAAAAATATATATTTTTGTGGTCCATACTATATATCCCATAATACTTTTTTAATTATTATATCACAAACTGTCTGTACTATGAATAGCATTAGAGAATCATTACAAGCACCCCAAAATACAAGAAACCATATATCAATTTTGATTGATATTATTTTATACAATTTTCACCACATAAAAATGTTCTATTATTGAATATGTCATGTGAAACTCACACTCCTTTAAAACCAAAAAGACTTTACTTTTTTTAGTTTGAGTTTAATTCTTATGAGACACTTTTTAAAAATTACTATGTTATATTAAGTTTTTTTTTTTCAATGCATTAAAATTTATTAAATAAAGTATCAATTATTGCATTTAATATATTAATATTATTATAAATAATAATTTAATTATTCTTAAACAGTATCTTAGGAAACTCATTAGCAACATTTATATATATTTTTGATGGTCCTAAGTTTTTTGAAAATGGAGTAAAGTTTGAAAACATAATTATTATTTTTAGTAAAAAAATATATTTAAGGAACATAGTTTGAAGAATAAATTTTGGTGGCATAAGCATGACAAAGGAAAACATTCATATATGGGCATATTATATTATATATGATTAATAAATGTCCATTGATTTATGGTTACTCATCTTCCCCAATCAATGCAAATAATTAAGATTGCTTCTTCTTCCTCCCTTCTTCATGTTTTTTTTTTTTTTTTTTCAGTCGGATCTAGGCATGTTCAACTCTTTTCATGTATATATATTTGTTGTGTTAATTTTTTTAAAAGATATGTTGTTACCACACATCAATCACAACCAACCAAACTAAAAAACCCAACCCAATTTTATCCAAAAATTTTGATTTTTTTTTTTGTAAAAATATTATTAAAAAATTAACCAAAAAACTAATTCAAAATACAAAGAAATAAATTAAAATTTAACTCATTCAATTTATAAAATCAATTTTAAAAAATAATATTTAATAAATCTAAAATTTAAATTTTAACTCTTATAATTTTTTCACTTATCCCTAAGGACTTCTTATAAAAAAATTATAAAGGTAAAAAAAAATCACTGAATTGAAAATCAAAACACCATAGTATCAAGTAGTAATAGAAAATAATAATTGCGATTATAATGCTAGTAGCCGTCATAATGCATCCACAAGCAAGTCAAAAGTACATAAGCAAGTTGGAAAAATTAGGAGAGTGGGGTCAAAATCTATTGAATCATGAAACCCATATTGGAGCAGCCACCTCCCCTAATTGAAATAAAATCTACAGTTTGCCAAACTTTAGAAGAAAATAGAGCTTCAAGGCTGCCATTTACTATTAAATTTCCCATGAATGTGGCATAACGCATGGCTGATCATTGACCCCAATCAAAAAGGTTGGATTTTTAAAAGCTAACATGACCAAGAAAAAAACCATTGTTAACTGTTCCACTTTTCTTTTAAACAAGAAAGGAAAAGAAGCCAAAACTTCTCCCATCAGGAAAGAAAGAGATAAGAAAAGATGATCAACACTCAATGAAGAATCATTGAATACCCACCAACAATCCCTGATAAATTCACCAACCTAAATTATATTTTTTGTAAATAATATTTGTATTAAACTCTTCTTTCATTTATGAAGCTCAACTTCTGAGTTCTGCCTGTTCCAAACTGCCATCTTTCTCTTCCCAATCTAACTTTGGCTATGCTTCTCTCTCCGTTCAAAACCCCGGTCTTTATTTCCTCTTGAGTTAGTAGTAATATTATTTTCAGGGCGAAACCAAAAAAAAAAGTTTGTACTGATAAGAACAAAGGAATAGAGCTGCTTATGCTCTACGCAGAGACAAAAGTGCTTCACTTTGGATGTTTGTTTTGTTGGCTTTAATAGACTTGCAAAGCCAGACAAGGTAAGCTCACATTCTCTTTGGAGACACCCAAAGCTTCATAATAATAAAATAATTTCTTTTCTTTATTCTTTTTTGTAATTTACTATTCATTCTTCCAAGAGCACTGTTCATTTGTTGGTTTCTTACAGGCACTTTCTTGGTATTTTCTGGTCATCACGAGAACCCCTAAAAAGTCTGCAGCATTTTTAGCCAAACAATCACCTTGTATTTGAAACCCCAGAAAACTGCTGAAAAGTTGTTCTTATTGGCGGTGTTGGCATTAATGGACTTTGCAGAAATTGGAATAGTGTTGTCTTGGGTTGACTCAGAACTAGTTATTAAATGTTGCCGGAGATTTTAAGTTTAGAGATAGAGGCTTGAGTTGGTTAAAGGTGGTGCCTTTCAGTTTTCTTCTTTCTCCTTGTTTCTAAATTTTTGACCTTTTGGCTCAAATGGATTTTGGTTTCTTTGGTTCTGTACTAATTCTATCACTCTTCTTCAATTATTTTGCTTGTCAACTACCCAATACAGATGACTTTTATGTCTCTGACTTCTTGAAGAAGATGGGCTCAAACTCTTCTTTGTTCTACAACTTCTCTAATTCTGTTTGTTCATGGGAAGGGGTGCACTGTGATACCAAGAAGGAGAATGTTATTGGGTTAAAGGCTTCAGGTTTAGGCCTCTTTGGTTTGATTCCTGATACCACCATTGGTAAGCTAACTCATCTTCAGTCTTTGGATCTTAGCAATAACAAAATCACCGCTTTGCCTTCAGATTTGTGGAGTTTAGGCTCACTTAAGAGGCTTAATCTCTCCTCCAATCAGATTTTAGGGTCTCTCCCTAGCAATATTGGCAACTTTGGTCTGCTTGAAGTTATTGATCTTTCTGGCAATAATTTCTCTGGGGAAATTCCTGCAGCTATAAGCTCCCTAGTTAGTTTGCAAGTTCTTAACCTTGCTGGAAATGGATTTGAATGGAGCATTCCAACCGGAATTATAAATTGCCGGTCTTTAGTTTCAATCGATCTCTCCGCAAATCGTCTAAATGGTTCCTTGCCAGATGGTTTTGGTGCTGCATTTCCTAACCTCAAAACTTTAAACCTTGCCAGAAATGAGATTTATGGCCGGGACACAGATTTTGCGGAAATGAAGTCTCTTACAAGCCTTAACATTTCCGGGAACTTATTCAAGGGTTCAGTTATGGGTGTGTTTCAAGGGCAGCTGGGGGTGATTGACCTCAGTAAGAACCAGTTTCAAGGTCACATTTCTCAGGTACAATTCAATTCTACTTATAAGTGGTCTCATTCGGTTTATCTGGACTTGTCCGAGAACCAGCTTAGCGGAGAAATTTCCATAAATCTGAGTCAAGCTCAGAATCTTAGACATCTTAATCTTGCATACAATAGATTTGCTGGACAGAAATTCCCAAGAATTGAAATGCTTTTGGGTTTAGAGTATCTCAATTTGTCTAAAACCAGCCTCATTGGTCATATTCCTGGTCAAATTTTACAACTGAGTAATTTACATACACTCGATGTTTCATCAAACCATCTTTCGGGCCAAATTCCATCATTGGCTAACCAAAGCCTCAAAATACTTGATGTTTCACACAACAATTTGAGTGGAGAAATTCCTTTTTCTCTCGTAGAAAAACTCCAATGGATGGAGAGATACAACTTCTCTTACAACAACTTAACCCTTTGTGATTCAGGGTTCTCCCTTGAGACCTTGGAAACATCATTTTTTGGCTTATTAAACAGCTGTCCAATCGCTGCAAATCCTGTCCTTTTCAAAAGAAGAGCCAACAGACATAGGGGGTTTAAGCTTGCCTTAGCTTTAACCCTCTCCATGGTGTTCTTGCTTGCCGGATTGCTGTTCCTAGCCTTCGGTTGCAGAAGGAAGTCCAGGACGTGGGTAGTTAAGCAACCCTCGTATAAAGAGGAGCAGAATATTTCAGGTCCCTTTTCCTTCCAAACTGATTCGACCACATGGGTGGCTGATGTTAAGCAGGCAACATCAGTCCCAGTAGTGATTTTTGGGAAACCACTATTAAATATCACATTTGCTGACCTCTTGGCTGCAACTTCGAATTTTGATCGAGGCACTCTACTAGCAGAAGGAAAGTTTGGGCCTGTTTATAGAGGATTTCTGCCTGGTGGAATTCATGTAGCTATTAAAGTTTTGGTTCATGGATCAACATTGACAGACCAAGAAGCTGCAAGAGAGCTTGAGTATCTTGGTCGAATCAAACACCCCAATCTTGTTCCATTAACTGGATATTGCTTGGCTGGGGATCAAAGGATTGCTATTTATGATTACATGGAGAATGGGAACTTGCAGAATTTGCTACATGACTTGCCACTTGGTGTTCAGACAACAGAGGACTGGAGTACTGATACCTGGGAAGAAGACAGCAATGGGATACAAAATATTGGCTCTGAAGGGCTATTAACAACCTGGGCATTTCGACAAAAAATAGCCCTTGGCACTGCACGAGCACTGGCATTCCTTCATCATGGCTGCTCACCTCCAATAATCCACAGAGATGTTAAAGCTAGTAGTGTTTATCTTGACTTAAATTTGGAGCCTAGATTATCTGATTTTGGATTGGCCAAGGTTTTTGGAACTGGTCTAGAGGATGAAATTGCCCGTGGTTCACCTGGATATGTACCACCAGAATTTTCTCAGCCCGAATGTGATGCTCCCACACCAAAATCTGATGTATATTGCTTCGGTGTTGTTTTGTTTGAGCTAATCACAGGGAAAAAGCCAATTGGAGATGATTATCCGGAGGGGCAAGAAGCAAATTTAGCTAGTTGGGTTAGAGGATTGGTGAGAAAGAACCAAGGATCGAAAGCTATTGATCCTAAAATTCGTGATACAGGGCCAGATTCCCAAATGGAGGAGGCCCTCAAGATTGGATATCTCTGCACGGCTGATCTTCCTACCAAGCGACCAAGCATGCAACAGATTGTCGGCCTTCTCAAGGATATTGAGCCAAGAGCTCCTCAATAAAACACAATGAATATAAGTTGGTCTTTTTTTTTTTTTTTTGCCTTCTAAATTTGTTCTTTCTCTACCATGAGTTTTTCCTTATGCCACCGTGGGAGAGGATGTACAGTAATTGTTATGTCTTGGAATTTCTCTTCACCTTTCCATTGTTGGCATCATAGTTTAATTTATAAGTTTATATACACGAGTTTGATCCCTGAAACTAAAAGATAAAATTTTCCTTTCAATTTTTCCCTTATCCTCTAGGAAATTGCCACTCATTGTGCTTTATCTTTATACAAACAAATAAATCAATCTGGAACTTATGTTATGGCAGTAGGGCGCCAGTGAAGTAGTTTAGTCTTGACTTTGTGTTTCCTTGTCCCTAGAATTGCTAAGCTTTGAATGTTTTGTCTCGGGCAATGGCGGCCTTTGGTCTCCCTGGAGACAGATGCTTATGTAATACACGTAAAATATATATATATATATATATATATATATTAAGTATTTTTATAAGTGAGGATTCTTTGATAAAGAATGAAAAATGTACAGGGTCTATTGATAAATAATCTAACTTTTAATAAGGTTAACATTTATTATTTGTATGATTGATGGAGGAAAAAAAAGGGGCTTATTCTTTTTTCTTTCTTATACAAAAAAGACAAATTGAATGATTCCAAGTAAAGAGTAACAAAAAAATTTACAAGAAAAATTATATGTTTGAGGTGAGTCAATAATTTTTTTTAATTTTGAAAAAATAATGATGATTGTTAAGTCTTACAGTATAATTTGTAATCGAGAAATTCTAAAATTTTAAAAAATTTATTATCCCTCTTCAATATTAGTTTGGATAAATTATTTAGTCTTTAATTAAAGTCTAATAAAGCGTTGAGAAAATTTAGTAATGTAATTTTTTTACTATAAAAATAGGAAATAGAAATTTAATGGGATTAGAAAGGAAATTTTCTGTTTGGTATGAATCTTGGTGTTTGCAGTAATAGATTAAGGGAATATTCTGTATTAAGAGATTAAATGTTGCTATGATTATTATATATCATTGGAAAGCTTGCTGAATTTACTTTCCAATGAAATAAATAAAAGTCAATTTCGAGTTTTTTTATGAATAGTAGTTTAATTTTTACTTAAGGATATGTAAGTTACATAGTAACAGCAGTGATGACAAATTACGAAATTCCTTTTAATTTTTATATAAAAAATTATGTATTGAGCCATACATGTTTGAAAATGTCACTAAGTCTACTTTCCAACAAAACAAGCAGAACTTAATTCCGAGTCTCTCATGAATAAATACGTAATTTTTATTAGAATGTATACATGTTGTCTAGCAACAATATATGACATGGATTTCAAAAATTATTTTAATTAATCTACAAGGAACACATTAAAAAGATCTTAATTCCGAATTGAATATCTTGAGATAGGCCTGTTTTAGTGAAAGGAGCTCAGGCTATCAATATTAATTAGTTGAGTTGACATTTATTTAACTTAATTGTTTTTGGTATAATTGATCTCAAAATAAGTTGATTAATTATTGTTATGTTGATATTATCTTGAATAGACTGTTAATTATTTGAAGAAAAAAACTAAGTGGTGGAATCAGAATGAGGTAAGTAAAATCTCACACGCTTCACTTGTTTTCAAACCTATGTATATATTTATGTTTCTAAATGAGTAAATTTTTTATTTCTTTATTTTCGATATATGAAAATAAGAATAAACATATGATTATTTTGTGTTTTAACTATGTAAATGATGGATTATATTTATGAATGAAATGAGAAAATAATTTATGTTTAAAAAATGATTTTATGATAATTACGTTTTTACATCTTTGAAAAGTAGAATCATCGACACCAAAACTAATTCTACAGTCTTAGCTAACGGGTAATAATAGTTAGCATAGACATGATCATATGATCCTGCTAACGGGTTATAGTAGTTAGTGTAAGGTCTTGACTAGCAGGTTATAATAATTAACGATGATTATTAGGATAAAATTATTGATACGACTAATGTTACAAGTTATAGCAATGACTGTAGCTAACGATAAACGAATAATAATGATGATTGATAATGACTTTTACAAATTGATTCATGATTTGGTGACATATATTGATATTGATTTATGATCTACGAAATGCTTGATAGAATGCTAATTTTTGAATTATTTTTGATATTATGAGTTGAATAATCTGTATAGTATGTATGAAAACGATATTTGATCTGGTAAGGTATGTGTGTTTATATTTGCTGAGCTGTGATTTATTCATTTTCATTTTCTTTTTTTTATAGATGATATGAATGATAAATATGATTAATCTTGTGAGAAGCTAGAATAATTTGAGCATCAGAGAACTACTTAGAGAATATGATTTTATGAAGTATTGTTTCTTTTAGTTGTAATACTTGACATTGAATCTTTGGAGACTTGTTATTTAATTATTTTACAGATACTAAAATTTATTGAGAATCTTATTTTATTTTGAAGATTTTTCAATGGTTATGAATTAAGCTTCGTATTATTTCAAGATTTTACTTCAAAATAATTTATATTTCAATTTTGGGACGTGACAATTTATGCCTCGTATGGTAATCAAATTGTTTGCATTTCTTCAAGAAGTTTTTTTTTTTCTTTCTTGCAGTTATTTTTATCTGGTGATGGATCAGGGGGTAGTTGGTATCACCTCGAGAGTTATAGTTGGTCATGGACCACTGCCTCACCATTAATGGAAGAAATACTGTGCGGCTGCATGAAGAAAAGAAAATGTGACATGTGCTTGTCAAAATTCAAGCTGGTTCATGATAATAATTCCTAAATTAGAAAATCTTATTGCTCTATGCTAGGTGAAGGCTTAAAATATATGTTATACACTGCAGAATAAAGTTGGCAGTAATGGAGATAGATTCCTACCACAATTTATAAGACATGTACACCTGAACTAATTTAAGATCAGATGCTTGTTCTTGAACATTTCCAAATGCATGAGAGTTTCCTAACTCACTATATATTATCAAGATGCATTTTTTGCTCTATTTTGTTGATAAACATCCCATAATATTTCAGGCAATGTCAAGTTATTTTTCTAGATAATTTTCAAATTAGGTAGCTTAATTGGTTTGGTACTTGGTTGTCAAGCTTCTTTTATGACTTTGACTTTCAGCATGTGAATGGTGGAAAAAGAAAACACTCCTGTTCAGTCTTATTAAATTATTGTTACAAAGTTCCACGAAAAACCATTACACTGGCAATGTAGAGGTTAAAAAGAAGAAGAAAATAGAATTCAGAAAAGGCTGCATTGTTGTAAATTCATCAAAAGTGGAGATAGCAAGTTTATGCCAAATGCACTTTTGCCATGTGTAGAAAAAGAACAAGTATATTTTTTTGCTTTAACATCATGGGTTGGTGTAGCAAAAGCTGTCCTTGGTTTGCATGCTAGAATTTCCACACCCACTTGGACCTGTAGCATCATAAGAAATTAGGATAAGATCATTTAAAATCTGTTGAATAGATTTTTTCAGTTTTGACTTCAAAATTTACGCATCATTTGGTTATTGGTGGGTGTAATGATTGTCAACAAAATTCATCACGATCAATAGATACTGTGTGCTAGAAGTGAAGGTTGTTTCTGTTCCCGAAACTCTTATTACTACCTGGACTAACATCACTGAGAATTCAACAACATATTTAGACTATTTTATTTTGTCTGTCATAACGTCTAAATCTAAAGATTCATCATTAGATATTGATTTAAAAAAATCATTATCAATCTTTTTTATCTAGATAAGATTAGTTCCTTAAAGAATCTATTTTTTCAGGAAACACCTAAGTTTAAGGGTCCTTACAAGAATAGATTCGAGTCTACTAACCAGAACAATGTTCGAAAGTTTAGTTACGTATGAAGAAGGTTATAGCACCCTCACAACGCCCATCGAAAGATGATACCGACTTAATTTTGTGTTATCCAACAAGCCTTAAAAATTTATCAAGTAATTAGTTGTTAGAAATTATTCTCAATTGACTCTAATACTTTTAGCAAAAAATTGAAAAAATCCCCTCACCTTAAGAGTATGCAAGAAAACTACTGTTTCACTTGCAAAGGCTCCATCGTCAGATTATTTAAAAAGAAAATAAAAAAGAAGAAGAAAAAATTGATTGTTTTTGTGCAGAAAAATTGATACTTTCAACTATTCTCAAAAATATTTTTTTAGAAATTTTAATTTCGAAGAAAATTGATACTTTAAACTTTTCCTTAAAACTTTTTTTTGAAAATTTATTTTTAAGGCTTAAAAAATTGATACTTTCAACTTTTCTCTAAAAATAATTTTTTTGGATTTTATTTAAAGAAAATAAAATAATAAAATAAAATAAAAGTGAAAAAAAAAGTAAAATAAAAATAAAAATAAAATAAAGATAAAAGTAAAAGAATATTAAACAAATCTAATATAATAATAATAATAAATAAATAAATAACAAAAAAAAAATCTGGGAACCGCTCGGCTTAGCGGCTCGGCTCGACTCGGCTTGAGGAAGAAAAACAGCTCGAAGACTGGGCTCGAGATTCTAACACACCAAAACCTTTTTTTAGCTTTTGTTTTTTCTCTGTGTCTGCCTTTTTTCTGTGTGTTTTCTTCTGTTCTTCTAGCCCCTATTTTATAGGGATTGATCATAAGAGTTTCTAATCAATCCCAACTATTTCTGGGATTTGGATTCAATTTTTAAATCCAACCTCAACTCTGCCAATTCCCAAATCACAGCCAAATTCATTCTAATTTTTTTATCCTAATCTTAATTGAAAATTAATCAAAATAAAAAGACAAATATATTAATAGATAACAAAAAAAAATAATTAGATAAATAAAAGAAATAGATAAGTAATAATAAAAAATAAAAATAGATAAATAATAAAAATATTAATAGATGAAAAATAAAATATATATATTAAATAATGAAAATAAAAATAAAAACCCATCAGGGCTAGCTAATTGGATCCTAAACTAAGCCTAATGGGCTTAGACCCAAATCTTATTAGATCAGACCCAATGGGTTTGGTTTCAGACTAAATAGGGTGTCTACAGCTGTCCCTCTTTGCACATTTTTTACGAAACAGGAATTATGCAAAGACGTAGACACCCATTCAAGACTCAACTTGACACTTTTTTTGTTTTTATTTTTATTTTTTTTTTGTTTTCTTTTTTTTTTGTTAAAATTTTGATCAAAGCTCCTCTAAGCAGAGGCTTAACGACTTTGAGAAACATAAACAAAGCTCCTCTAATCAGAGGCTCAACGATTTTGAAAAATAAACAAGGCTCCTCTAATCAAAGGCTCAACGACTTTGAAAAAATAAATGGCTCCTCTAATCAGAGGCTCAACA